TGACATCAAGCAATTTCGCCAGCCGGGGGAGCAATGTTGCTTCGAGACTACTCGATAATAGGCATGGACGATAATGGAAAGGAGAGATGGAAAGATACTTCGTGGGCTTTCGGAGGTGGAACCACGAATATGCGGCGAAGCGCCAGATACACAAGTTGCGAGTTGCAAGAATTAGCGAAAGAAGTGCATTTTGCAGTTAGACACTAGTGTGACATATGGTTGAACATCTTTATCCATCTAGAACATGCACAATAGTTCAATTTGGCAGGGTCCCGTAGTAGATCACTCCTTTGGCGTTGCGCCAACCAGTCACGTGACTCTGAAGTCCATTTTCGTCTTCGTTGAGCGTCCGAGACCTACACAAGCTGAAATTCGTCGCTATTTTCTTTGGTATTCGGTTTTTTTTGGCCAGGACCAACGGCCACGACTGTATGACGATGATGAAGAGAGAGATTGGTCATTTGTCGAATTATGAAGATGTGGACGGCTCTCGAACAAAGCGACAAAAGCAAGTTGGAGCATCATCTAGCCAAGCCGCTACAGGAACCGCCATAGGAAATACGGCTAATGAAGACATTCAGATGGACACTGGAGAAAGTAGCAGTTCTGGTGTAGCTGGGTTGAAGGAGCAGGGAACAAAGTTGTGGCAGATGTTGAAGGACGTGGTCAATAAAGAGTGAGTAACAAACCCAACTTGAGCTCAGACGCAATCACAGCCGCCTCAAGCCATTTTCCTTTCTGATCTCGCTAACATTTCTTCCGTATATCACACAGAGGTTACATATGCTCGCCAGCATTCATGCGCTTGCCCTCAAAGCGCCATTATCCTGATTATTATGTCTTCATTCAACAACCAATTTGCTTGGACGATATCAAGCAAAAAATAGATGATGGTTTATACAACTCTCTCGACGATATCAGACAAGATTTCGACCTCTGTTTTTCAAACGCCAAAAAGTACAATCAGAAGAACAGTCGAATCTGGCTCGACGCCAAATTCATGCTGGTGAGATTACCCTTTGTCCTATGTTTACACTGATGAGTTCACCCTTGGGCAGAAATTCGTAAATAAGGAGTATACGAAGATGACGGGAAAGAAAGTCAAGAAGAATAGCGATGGAGACGACGATGAGGATAAGGCTGCTGACGGTGGAGACAGTGAGAAGAAGAACAAACAGCCTAACTTGACCCGCCTCTTGAAGGCTAGATTGCAGAAGGTTGTCGATAAAGCTGATGAAGAGACGTGAGTTCACCTTCCTTCTCGACTACAACTTGTTTTTGATTCAAGTAACAGACACCGTGTGCTCTCTAACGTTTTCATGGAGATGCCGTCGAAGAAGGACTATCCAATGTATTATACACAAATCAAACGCCCAATGTGCATAGAGACCATTTTTGTAAGTCGCACATACTTAACTCTGGAGTATGTGTTCACGACATTACCAGAAACACCTGAAGCGCAAGGAATATCAAACCTCTCTAGATTTTGCAACTGATGTCGAGCTTGTGTTCTCTAATGCTCTCGAGTTCAACCAGGACCACAGTCAAATCTGGGAAGATGCAATCATTCTTCGAGTAAGTATCGCATACCCTGAGCAGTATTCTCATTCATACGTTAACAGGATTACTTCCGTCAACTCATGTCTGACATGCCAGAGCCGCACGCGCTACCACAGTACGCGAAGCCTCCAGCAAAGATCAAATTGAAAGTTCCAGGGACAGCGACTGTGGCTGCAGGATCCTCTACGACTGTCACTTCTTCGTCAGCCAAACCACCAGAAAAAGAGGGCGCTACTGGAGGATCGTTAACGTTACGCCTTCCTGCAAGTGGCGGAAATGCCAAGAGTCCAGCTCAATCCTCGATCAATCAGCTGCCACCTGGAGCTGGAGTGCCTATTCCAACGACTACATCTGTGCAAGGCTCAAAACCCATTGCTGCACCTGCACATAAACCCACCCCTACACCTCAACCGTTTGTCGCTGCAGCTCCTCCTGCTCAAGTCCCTACTCCTTTACCGACACCAGCAACACAAACAAAAGCCGCACCATCGCCACAAGTCTCGACACAGCCATCGCAGTATCAGCCAACAGTAGCTAAACCTCAGTATTATCCCAATGCCACCTATCACCAATACACCCACCCGGCTCCGGCTCCTCCGACACCCGCAATACCATCTTCTGCAATACGAACACAGCCAGCGCCTCAGGTTCAGACATCTCAATCGGTTTCAAGATCACCTGCACCTGTATTGACTGGACATCGAGCACTCAAGGGCGTTTGCTTGATAACCAAGCCTCGTGGCAGACCCTTCTGGCTTGATCATCGTGATGGAGTCAAAACCTGGGCCATACGACTTTGCCAAGGCGAGAAATCGATCTCCGTTGCAGAGATCAGATTCTTTGGAGATGATGATGAAACCGGAGATGATGAAGGCGATGGGAACGATGAACAGCCAGAAGATGAAGAGGAGGAGGAAGAGCCCAGTCCTAGGAAGCGTGGTCGTGGCCGTCCGCCAAAGAATCCGAAAGCGAAAGCCAAGGCGGCTGCACTAGCGAAGAAAGTTGAACAGAAGAAAGCTCAGAACGCCCCTACACCTCAACAGGAAAGCATATTGATTAATCTTAACGGTACTGCTATGAACGACAAGCTCGAGGATGGCGTGTGGAATATGGACCTTCAAGTTGGTTCAAATGTTTTGGAAGTCGGTGAGAAGAGTGGATACGTATGGAAAGTATACTTGGAGAGAGTTTCCATCATATAGCGGTTGTACTTGTCGACCCCCACTTTAGATTCCAGCCTTATCTACCTATATTCTCTCTATTAATCGCGCTTGTAATACAATACGCAGTCCGTTTCCAAAGAATTTCTAGTGATCTACAAAAGTCCAATACCAATCATCGTAATGCGAGAGGAACGTCATCGTCCGAGGTTGCGCCAGCATCCCCAATATCCCCAGATAACTCATCGGTATTCTCATCGAACTCATCCTCCTCAAAACCTTCGTCACTCTCTAGAGTGTGCTCAGGTTCATACACTTGGTATCGGCCAACCTCATTAATCTGGTCCTGCACGTATTCTTGAAACAACTGCTCCCGATTTACGGGGCGCACCTCGTACCCCTCCGAGCCCCGACGCACCCTGACAGTTCCGGAGTGCTCCTCTTCTGAGTAATCTGAATCACTGTCAGGAGAATATGGTCGTCCAGGATGGGTATTAACTCCAGGATCTTCGTAATCTGGATGATAAGGTGGTAAAACAGAGACAGGATCTTGCGTGGATTTATATCGGTTACCATTGACACCACGTAGTTGACCATTTGTTGGACGTAGATTGGGATTAACACCCCCGTTCTCGTATGTCCATGGACTGTCAGGGAGCTTGAAGGGTAGCTGGCTAGACAAATCCGGGTCTCGAGGAGGCCAGTTATAATGTTCTATATCAATAGATCAGTCAACGAGGCGTCATATCAAACATAATAACGCAGCTGCAATGAGCGTACTGACACGACAGAACGAGGACGTCAGAGGAAAATGACAGCTACCAGATATAGCGGTCACAGTTCCAAATCGTCCACTCTCCTTCGGCGACTCTGTGCTGCAGCCTGTTCATTCCACTCACCATCAGCAACTGAAAGCTGGTATTTAAGGCCAGTTCCAGGAGGGACGGTTGGACAACACCACAAAAGTGGATTGTTTCCGAGAATTGAGGCAATATTACGCCTCGCGCCGAGGTTCTGCAATACATCAGTAATTTGTTTGTCGACATGAATCAGATACTTGCATATGGGAACTTGACCTGTGTACGACACGATTAGTTAATTCGCTACAGCTTACCTAGAGGGAAGGTTTACCTCTTCAATTTTGCCGTGTCGTCGTAGTATTGCAGCTTTATCTTTCTCCCAGCCTTCGATAGTCGTGGTATTGCCCAACAGACTGTGAAAATGATAAAGACTGTATAGTCACGGTGAGCAAACTGTAATTCTGCATGCAAAGTAGCAATACCTGAAAGCTCCAACTACAAGAATCACGGGGATGACAAAAACGTAGTTCAATATGATGAAGATAAGTTCGGCACCCGTTGGCTCGTCCTGAGTTGCTCTATGTTCAGTTACAGGTTCAATACTTCAGGAAACAACTTACATAGTACCGTCTCCCAGATGCGGCCATGACTCGGTATGAGACCATAACGAAGTGATACGAGCAAGTTACGTCCACGTAAAATAGAAAACGAATAAAGTGTCCATAATTGAAATGGCCGATGCAGTTGTTTGTCCAAGGACAATGGTGGTCTGTGGCAGTCAGAATGTGAAGAGAAGGATGCCCAAAAGTGCTTACCCATTCTCAGCACGCATCTATCAAGCAGTCAGCATCGCAATAATTCGCTGAAAGCTCCTGCTCACCTGTTGCATTGTCTGCAATGATGGGACCTCGGAGGCTTGAACTTTTCGCAGGTACGGCAAAAGCGGGGGCAACCTGTCAGTCTTTTAACCTCGTACCCTTCGCTTGATTGCGTGTCCGGTTTCTGAGAGATAGTGTCATCAATCTGAATGACTGCGGCTGAGCCTTAGGCGTACCCAACCATCCGGAACCTCTCCGGGATCAGTAACTATGCATAGGTAGTAGTTCCATAGTAGTGATGCAGCAAGGACACTATTGGAGCATAAATTTCAAAGTACATTCGGATTAATGAAGCTCACTTGAATGGCAAGAGAAGAGTTATGAGCTCTACAGACAACTCACGCCCATACCAAGGCCATATAATGTAGATTTGGCAGGTTAAGGCAGGGAAAAGAATAAGAAATAGCACGAAGCAAATGGCAATGCGCCCCAAGATGGGGTGCATGTCTTGGTGTGAGGTCGAACAAGATCTAGGTAAGACGAAGTGTGAGCGTAGTAGCTATCACCAACCAAAGACTGTGCGAAGCCAGGGTTCCGAGAAAGGAAATTCACCATTATGTCAATTAGTATATTTACAGTTTCGCTGTTTTTGCTCTTTCATCATGCAGCATTCAAGGGCTCTTGCTGGGCTCTGCAATCTAGGACGCTGCTACAAGCAGACAACCCGGTCATACTCTACGAACAGCCCATTTGCATCTTTTATTTCAGATGTTAAGGTTCCAGAGTCAGTAGCTGCTTCGGTAGAAGAAACGCGTCGGAGTGCCCCAAGACTTAGTTCATTGGGAGACATAGAAATTCGTGCGTAACTTTCTCAGTCCGCGATATTTGGCCTTAAACAGTGATTTTAGCCTCTATCATTCCATCATCCACCACTTCTCTGTTTGCTGCACGCGCTGCTCAGAGGCAGAAAAGGCTGCTGGCTGAGGCTGCACCAAAAAAGATCGAGGCTAAAGTTGTAAATACACCGAAGCCAACTTCGCCTGCTACAGGTTCTCTGCTATCTAGGAGGTCTCAAAGACCCCCGAAAGATGAGGAGAGACGTTCCAATGATGGACCCTCGAGCCCGCAGACTGCCGCTCACCCTCGTCTGAGACGGCCCCTTCCTGCGGAGACTAGGTCAGCACCAGCAGAGATTAGATCTGCGCCAGCAGAGATCAGGTCGGCACCAGCAGGAATGCGCACAGACCGACGGAGGGAAAGTTCAAGGGTTCCAAAGCCAAGCCGCGTTGTTAAGCCCACATCTCCCATCGAGAATCTTAATAAAGTCAACAAATCCGCCCCGCCACCATTGCATGTTAGTTTCAACAACACTGACTTGTCGGAGCTGTTCAGTTCCCCAGCCCTCATTCCATATGTCGTTCAGCCATCAGTTGCACAGTCACGCATTGACTCACGGATGCAACTCTTGAAAGAACGTGCCGGCGATTACTCGCGATATCTTTCGGGAGGCGTTGAATCCACAACACAAACGCAAGGGTCGATAGATTACGCGAAGTTGATTTTGGCTCGTAGGAGAGAAGTTGGATTGAAGCCGAGGCGCGCCGCTGTGGAGCTCATGCGTCAAGCAGGACTCAGTTCCACGTCAGGTATGCGAGACTTCACTACATTCAAGACAAAAACTTAATCAGAACTTGGCAGTCTCTGCAACTCTGTGACCTTAATCAGCTTCGTTCATAATGAAATCTTGTTCCATCGAAACGAGAAAAATATGACCGCTACACTAAATACATGCCCCGGGACAAAAATAGCCATAAGTTACACCAGAAACAGTCAAAGTATATATCATAAGAGTGCATGAGGGTATGATTAAAAAGTGCTAAGGATCAAACAGGCACGGTACCATTCATCCCGAGTTGCTCTTCCGCAATGATTACAGGCTCTGGTGTACGACCTACCGAATCCGTATACTCGAGTTGGGCAGGAACTATCCATTCAGGAAGTTCAAAGTCCCTAAGTTCCTCAATCTCTTGTGGCACTTTTGTGCCAAACGCAGTTACATGCCTATGCGTTTTACGAGCAGTTGGCGCAGATGAGGCGCGGATAGCAGCCTGCATGAGGACGCACGGTTCTGGTTTCGGCGCTGGTGCGGGATGCGGATGGCGCGGTGCACGATGTTCTGGAGTAGAGTGTGGAGAGTATGCCTCATCGAGGTGTGACGGTCTTGCGCGTTTGCGCGGTCGTTCGGATTCGACGGACTCTGTTTCAGAAGAGGCTCTGGATATTGGTTTCGCTGGAGACGCTCTGGATACCGATTTGGACTTGGATGGTGAAGATAATAAATAGGTTGTAGGCTTGGGTGCTGGGGTGCTGGATACTGATGGGGAAAAGCTTGACTGTTTCGGCATCTTGATTTTCAAGACAAGTGAGGTGCTGGCTTTGGTAGGTAAAAGAGTGGCGGAAGCTCGGCCATTAATGATTGACTCGTCTTGAGGGTAGATGTCGGAGGAAGGAGGGATATTGACGCTACTCTGCCTGCTTGCTTTTCTCTGATCGAAATAGTTCTTCTTGTCCGACGGTAACAGGGTGCGGTATCGATCCTCCAAGATGTAAGCTACCTCAAGCATCTCCTGCCGTCGCCTCTCCCCCTCGTTACACATGACTGTCCCGTCGACGTGAATTGCCGTAAGGCTCGTGTCTCGGCTGTCTTCGACCTGAACTGCATCAGATGGTAGGGGGAAAGATGCTGCGGGTAATCCGAGGAATGCACTTCCGTCCATCGCCCTCAGCTGTTCTATCCTCTCCTTGAGCTTGTACTGCTCATGCTTCAGCTTCTCCTTTTCACGGAGACGCTGGCGCTTTTCAAACGTCTCGTACTTCCTATGGCGCTTTTCATATATGGCATCAGAAGTGTCCGCTGACTCAGGGAGCTAGGTAGAGATGATTTCTGGCGTGAGCTTATGCCAAAGTTTAAGACTTGCGTTTCAACGCACCTCCGCAGAAATTCTCGGCCTGAATCTACCTCCAACGCTAGCATCCTCTGACAAAGTAGTGAATTCAGGTGTCTGTATGATTTGTTGCTCTCGATAAGCTTGAATAACATCTGGCCTGTCGAAATAGCGTTGATTCGCATGACTATTGAGTCCGAAGTCAGTCGAAGATGAGGGTTGAGGCTGGGGTACGAGGGCAGAGTTTGTGGTCAACAAGAACTGCGTATTTGCCGGAATGAGCGGCTCATTCTCAACTGCGGTAAGGATGTAAGTATATGAACTAGGTAGAGCAAAAAAGCGCAACGAACATCTTCGTCTCTGCGCGTCCAATATCATGAGGTCAACATCACAGCTTCCTATTCCAGGACCACCACGACGTGAACGGGAGGGTAGGACACGTTTCTGTCGAGGTTTTAGGCTTGAAAATTCAGATGAATCTGCCATAGGAAGTCCTAGCTCCTAGCCGTACTAGTAGCAGTCGCCAGTTCGAGAGTAGTAGTAGCAGCAGTGCACTCTAGGCTATTGCTAGTCTCAGACTTCTAGACTTCTGCCTGTATCAAATGTCGCAGATCTCCAGCTCTTAGAGTTTATGAGAGAGGTTCGTGAAGCGATCGAGAGGAAATGGACATAGGCCGAAAAATAAAACTTTCTTTCGTTGACCGCCGTAGAAGCTTTCGTGCCATCAATTACAGTCCACACTTTATGTTTTTATGCAAATCTCGCGTTAACCATCGTCTTCTGCCTACAATATGCCTAGACTATGCATCTCTTGGAGCTGCAGAATTTTCTCGGAACCTCCAACCACCCTTCGTTAGTGCTGCAACAGCAGCGTCGGCCTTCTCTTTGGGGACCAGAACATAATCGGTATTCCTATCAAGGGATAAGCATCACGCAAGTCGATTATATCTGCTACGAGCGCTAACCATGTCGAAACTGCGAACACCGGAACATTAGCATCTTTCAGCGGCGTCGTGAAATTACAGATCACGCCAGTCAACCCTGTTAGCAAGCGAAGATTAGATTCTCTTTCCGTTACCAACAAATGTAGGAAGACACCAAATTCCATGGGCCCTGCTATCTTGATGCATTTCCATTCGCCGTCGTCATCAACAGCTTCACCAACAACAGAAATCTCTTCTCCTGTTCTGGTGATGGAGAAGACCCCTGGAGTTTGTTGAGCAGCGTTCAGCCCGCTCGCAATTGCAGCTGGAACGCCTGCATCTACTGGGAACTGCTTAACGAAGAAGGTCTGAGCCAGTAGCTCAAGTTCCAAACTCGGGTGATTGAGGGGTGGAGGCATGTTATCACTAGATTTTCCTAAGTCTACGACACGGTAGTACTGACGGGATGGAAGTTCGAACGATCAAGAAGCCATGTACAATTATAGATTTTGCTTGGTAGCATCGGAGCATACTTCTCAATATTGCTCATCACTAGTGAACTCGTCCTTGATTGGTATTATCCTTCTTTGGGAAGGTACTGGATACCACTCGAGAGGCAAGTAGAATCCTCAGGGGTGTCTGGAAGCACGTTAACGGTCGGTCTGCCACTGATACATGCAACGTACTTATCGGGACGAAATCGCCATCAATAACAGAGCCCTTGAGATTGAAGTACCAGCTGACCGAGCTGAGTTTGTCCGATCGCGAGCAGCCCAAAGTTGGAGTGTACTGGAAAATAAACGTTATGAGGATGTATTTTTGAGCAAAATATGAAACCTACTCCTCCAGAGCCGGCTTCGAGAGCCGACAACAAATCCGAAAGCGAATAAGTCTGGCTGTATGACGGAGTGATGCCTGCCTGGGCAAGCCAGTCATACGTGGGGAGGGTCTTGAAGACCCTCACCACAGTCTCAAAGAATGCCACGGCCTTGCATAATAATAGTGCTCAGAGTAAATACTTCCATAGATGACGCCTACTTACCTCGGCACCCGTAGGGCTGTCGCTGGGAAGACAATCAACATTCAGTGTGCTAAAAAAAGGTCAAATGAATATGCATCAAAATTCCGGACCGTCTGGACCCTGTACCTATAGCATGTGCCATGTGTAGCCCACTCATGCTACAATGCTTGACAATAAGCATTCGAACGAGTTGAAAGTTCCGAGTCTCACGTACCTCCCAGAATTTTTCATTAGACCCATCATCATTAAGCCAATACTGTTGCATGAATTCCAATGTAGACGATGCACCCTGCGATTCGAGTAGCTGTGGGAAATCAGCTGGGGTGGTTTTGGTATCGAGGAGACTAACTGACCCCGGCGATATTCTTGTAATCACGAGAGGGATCACAGTCCTCAATGTAAGTGCCGTCGCAGCTACGATGTATTCAAATTTTGTACCCCAATAGTCCAGCTACTGTGACTTACTTATCAGGCCACAAACCTGAATTTCTCATGTCAGAACAAAGTCAGAACGCCATTAATTACACACCATGAATGGTCCAACTGTCCTCGGGGCTACCGGCAACGTCTGTGTCCCAAACCTGAAAAAAAGTTATTTCTGGCTCCACATGTTGAACAAGGCAAACTGAACGAACTTGCGTCTGCATGATCAGGCCCTGGAGCTAGTTAGGGCAATTCATCACCGATTGAGACTAGAACAGGGACGTACTCCAGGACTTTCATAACAGCAGGTATCGGCGGCGGGTGTGTTCGCATTTTGGCACGATGCAGGACCGGAAGTCCCGCAGCCTGAGCTACCAGAGCTCTGGAAGAAGTTCATCGGGTTAACGTAGGACGACCCGAGGAGGGACGACAAGACAAGTGACGAGACAGACATTGTGTACAAGGAGGAGAGGACTGCAGCTGCCTGAATATTTATATGCTACGAAAGCAAGCTTCGGGAGCAAGGTTTGACCGGTGCCAGCCTGTCATGTTTAAAAAGGATGTGGGACATAGCCAGAATTCAATTCCCTGAGCGAACGTGGGGCGCATTTTAATAATCATCACGTTGCAATACAAGCTAGAAGGAAGCACAGACAAAGTACACACATGGCTTGTGTCGGGGTGGGAAAGTTCGGCAAGCGATCTGCTTTATTCGATGCTAGCACGATCGTGCTTTACAGGCTCACAGGTATTATTCCGGTGAGAATACCGTCAAATGTATGGAATTGAAGGAACCCGCCGAATAGGGATGAATGGGTCTACTAGATCGGGGTGTACGCATCGCTTTCCGCATTTTCATACTCCTGCCCATGCACCAACCACTGATTCGTCCAGGGTTGAGAAGGCTGTTGTACCTGATAAGAGTTGAACCGAGCCTCTTGGTTCTCAAACCATGCAGGAGGACCATTGAATCCAAAAGCGGACGCGAATCGAGGATTGATGTGCGGCTGTACAGATTGTTGTTGCTGTCGTTGTCCAAATTGGTGAACTTGAAAATCGCCTGATGGATAACCCCACATTGGTGAAGGTGAGAAAGGCTGCGAAGAATAGCCGGGGATTCCGACCGGTTGATTTGTTCCGCGCTCTATCTCGTCAGGTGCGGGCGATAGGGGGATAGAGGTGCTTGTATTGTACGGTTCCATTGAAGAAGCTGTAGGGTTTTGTTGAGACCATCTAGATTCTCCCCACGAACGTCGTCCACGATCTGGTCGCCCATGCCCACGACCCCTTCCACGATCACGGGCCCCTCCGCCTCTATCGTAACCTCTACCACGCCACCGGCCCCGTCCTCTGCCGTCTCCAAAGTTTCTCTCTAGTTCCCTACCGGACAGACGAGCCTCAGTAGAGGGACCACTCAAGTCTTCTTCATATTTCACAATGTCCACCTTGATCTCGTCGGCATATGGGTCATCGTATGGGATAGGCGCTGGACGCGACGGCCCGGCAACCCGGTACCCATCGTCATATGGGCCATGGGCATCGTATGGGTTTGCCCCGTAGAAAATGTTATCAATATCATCGTTGTAGTGAGACTGCGACGGCGTAGGTGTTGTCCGTCGAGACGATGACACAGACATGCCACGTCTGCCGAGAATAAATGAGAGTGAGAATATTTTTGAGTGCATACACATACTTTTTCTTCCGTGCCTGCTTGAACGCGGCTTCTTGTTCGTCATCCGAGAACTCCATTTCATCTTCACCGGGCTCCTCATCATGAATGTTACTTGCATCGCTGCCGCGAAGCTTTTGAAGGTATTCCGTGAAGACAAAATTACTTCGTTGCGGTATATGGTAAACTTCGCGAGCGACTCGAATCTTCTCAGTATCCAGTGGGTAGCTCTGGTTAAATTTTATTTGATACAAGGGCTGGGAAGTGGGTCCGAACGTTTCATACACCTGCATAAGGTCAGAAGAGGTGTCCTGAGAATACAAAATACGCACATGTCCGAGAACCTGTCGATCGTCGAAGACAAGTAATGTCTCGACATCTAGTGCCTTTTCAGATGCAGCTCTGGAGGAGTCAGCAGGAAGGCCTTTCACAATTACTACATTCCCAATAATGTTCATCACCTCGCCAACTTTGTCCAATACTTCTTCGGGTCCGACTTCTGATACAGAAGGGACAACGATGTCTGTTTCGACAATCTCATTTTTGGTCTGTACATATGATGCAACAGCTGTAGCGCCTGACTCCTCGTCATCGTCCACATCAATCTGTGGTTTTCGAGGGTCCTGCGCATTTTTATCTCCTGCTTTATCAGCAGTTTCATCCTCGTCTGACTCAGAATCCGAGTCCGAGGAATCAGAATCTGAGCTTGGTTCTGACTCTGGTGATCCTGGTCTGGCAATAGTCTCAAAATATCAGCTGGCATATAGTGTTAAGAGACTCACAAAACAGGTGTAAGGTTGGAAGATTCCTCCTCTGGAACCATTAAATCGGCTTCAACCTCGTCCTCACTGTCAATCTCGCTGGACGAGCTTGCGATAGAGTCATCGCTCGAGTCTGCGGACTTGTGGACATCCTTCCAGATATCCGCTTTTGGCAGAGGGACAACGCCGACAATTTCTTGAATAAGGAGTATATCCTGGGGGACCAGGTCGGGGACTTTGAACTGAAAATCCATGACGGGCGACAGGAAAATGGATAGCGAAGCGGCATGTCCCAAAACAAGAAATTTTGACGTCACGTGAGCGTTCTTAGTTGCGCGTCACACAAAATTTTGCATAGAACCTTTCTCGTTTCATCGATATCTTTCACGATGATAGCCCAATTTCTTCGCTCATCGAAGCCTTTTCATGCATCGAGACTCTCGCGCGTTGCCCAGTCGCGTTATTCTACAGCTCCATCCAAGCCCTCCCTGCAGCATGTCGCGCAGCTGCGCAAACTGACGGAGGTCTCAATCTCAAAAGCACGAGAAGCCCTCAGTCAAACCAATAACGACATACAACAAGCCCTCGAATGGGTGAAAAATGATCTCGCAGCGTCGGGCATAAAAAAGGCCGCGAACGTCCAATCTCGGGAGACTCGGGAAGGACTTGTCAGTGTCTGCATACTCTCTGGAGGCAGCAGGGGGAAAACAGCTTTGGGTGGCGGCGGCATACGGGCAGCCATGGTTGAATTGAACTGCGAAACAGATTTTGTTGGAAGAAATACCCTATTCGGTCAATTAGCAGCAGATATAGCTCATACCGCCGCATTTATCACGGAACCGATTGACTCTTCGACTATCATCAGATCTTGTTCGCTGGACATTCTGAATGATGCTCCCCTATTATCTCAAAACAACCCCTCGTCTCATTCGTCATCTACAGTATCAAGCTCTATTAGAGACCTCATTGCTAAAGTGGGTGAGAAGGTTTCCCTGAAGAGAGCTGTGACGGTCGTGCAAAACCCTTTGGGACAGTCGCCCAATCTTGGTCTGCGTCTCGCGTCCTATCTGCACGGATCTGTAGGCTCTGCTCCTCAGGGTCGCATTGGGTCTTTGGCTGTGCTCGCTCTTCAATCTCCGGAGCTTGCACATCGCCTTGAGAGCGAGACCTTCGTCAAAGATCTCGAGCGACTTGAACGTGCAGTTGCACGGCAAATCACTGGCTTTGACACCCGCTCGATCAAGTCATCGGATGGTGGTGAGACGGCACTGTACAACCAACCGTTCATGATGCTCGGAGGGGAGAGTGCAAGTGAGCCAGTACGGATGGCCATAGAGAACTGGAGTAAACGACAAGGCCTTGTCCAGGATGGCGAAGGAGGTATTGAAGTCCTGGAGTTTGCCAAATGGAGTGTAGGCGATGTCGTTGGGTAGATTCATTTATTTTACTTATCCAGACTACATGGATTATTCGACGGTTCTTGAGAGTAACTTTGTATGTGTACTTGGTCGGTTAAATCTGGCGTCATGACATAGGACTCCATAGCTCAGTGGTAGAGCATACGATTGCAGATCGTGCGGTCCCGTGTTCGAACCACGGTGGGGTCTCTTTTTGTACGTAATTTTACGTAATCATGCTCCCATTAATAGCCTTTTGGACGTTCGGCGTTTTTCAACCCTTGACTTTACTCATCATGCGGAGGGCAACAACGTCGCTCGTCCGCCGCAGCCAGCGGCAATTTTCGCAAGCAGTACACCCTCCATTGCAGATCACAACTCTGCCCAACAAAATCAGAGTTGCTACTGAGTCGACTCCCGGTCATTTTTCATCCGTTGGACTCTATGTAGATGCGGGATCCAGGTATGAGGACTCATCGACCTCTGGCGTTAGCCATTTTCTGGACAGGATGGCCTTCAAGGTACGTAGCTTTAGTTGGTATTTGTGCCAGTGTTCACAGCTCTATTGCTCAGACTACCAGCTCTCGCTCCACGGAAGATATGGCAACCGCAATGGACAAGCTGGGTGGTCAAATCATGTGCTCTTCGTCACGCGAATCCATCATGTACCAATCGTCCAACTTCGACCAAGCTACTCCTCTCGCGCTTTCTCTCATATCAGACACCATCTTAAATTCCACATTTCTACCCGATGAACTCGACGCCCAGAGAGATGCCGCTCGTTATGAGATCCGAGAAATTGGTCAGAAACCCGAGATGATTCTGCCAGAGGTCTTGCATGAGGTTGCATACGGCAGGAAAACACTTGGGAATCCTCTCTTATGCCCAGAAGAGCGAATAGACGCAATTACCGGAGACCTACTTCGGGACTGCATTACAAACTGGTACCGCCCGGAGAGGATGGTGATTGCTGGTGCTGGGATGCATCACGAACGACTAGTGGAGTTGGCTGATAAATATTTCTCATCCCTCAAATCTGCGCCAACACCATCAGTTTCATCACCTCAGCCGTCAGCTACTCAGAATCTACCACCACACTTACTTCCCTCATCCTCACCCTCGCTCTACAAGTCATTAACTCGCGCTGCATCAACATATCTGTACCCTTCGTCCCTTTCTACCGAGCCACCACTTCCTTCACTGAACCCTCACTCTAATTACGTTGGTGGCATCCATCACATCCCCAGTACGACAGAGTTCGATCAACTCTACCTTGCCTTTGAGGGTGTAGGTATTCATGACGAGGATATATATACCCTTGCCACTATGCAAGTCCTCCTTGGAGGTGGTGGAAGTTTTTCAGCTGGTGAGCAATCACATTCCTTAGCCACACGCTTTATTTAACTTCTTGCAGGTGGTCCTGGGAAGGGCATGTACTCTCGACTTTACACACACATCCTGAATCACTACACCCAAATCGACCATTGTGCTTCCTTCCATCACATTTACACGGATTCCTCACTCTTTGGCGTCTTTGCCTCGTTCGTCCCCAATGTTCCCGGCCAGAGAGGCAACACTCCTGCACAAATGCTGCCCCACCTAGCTAATCAACTTAGCCTGCTTATATACCAACCTGTTCCCAAAGTTGAGCTTGAGCGCGCCAAGAATCAACTCAAATCAAGCCTGATGATGGCTCTCGAGAGTCGGGCGGTGGAAGTGGAAGATCTTGGCCGACAGGTACGACAGACTTTTATCATAGACATGCCCGTATACTCACATGTTAATCTAGTTGCTTGTCCACGGTCGGAAGATTCCTGTGACTGATATGACTGCGGCCATAGACAAGGTGACTCCTGACTGCGTGCGCCGCGTCGCTACTAGACTATTCGCACCTTCGTCTGGAAACAAAGCTACGATTTTGACGATGGGGCGCGGGGATATAGGAGATTGGAAGGCGACGCTTAAAAAATATGGTGTCGCAGGAGCTTGAAGGTTTGAACGCTTAGATCACTGTATATTTTCGGTTCCTAATTCCAACCAACGGCCGTTGCAACAAGTTGTTTCATCATACGTACGTACGAGGTGTGCCTTCGTCGGACGAGGCATTTCAAGCAAAACGGTGTCAATAAGCAATCCTGGCCATGGCTCGATGGCTTGCCTATGACAGTACCACTCACGAGCATCACTGCATAGCGTGGTTACGGTACACCTCGAACTCAGCGATTTGACTCAATCTCCAGAAACAAATCTCCAGCAGCGACTAGTACGAGCCCGTTGCCCACCGCAGGCTAGGGCTCATTGAAATTCCATTGAAATACATATTTGCACGATCTGCGTACCCTGGTGTCCACTAAAGAAAGTTAGGAATACACGTAGTAATGGGTAGACCAACTCGTGAGTCGTGATATTTATCATTGGGTCTATCGAGTCAAGGAGGTTTTGTTCGCGTATTCCAATATCGGCAACATCCAGTATGTAACGTCTGCGAAAAGCGCTCGCCGATAGTACTGAAGTTTAGTACGCTCTAGCATGCGGGCACTGGGTACCACTCAGGCTTATCGGATCTCGTCACAAGCATATCCTACCCCCCACAGGGAGGCTTGAGCATGCCCCACAATTTACTTGGCTACTGAGTTTTCTCGGTGAGTGCGTCTGCCACATGACTACAAATGGGGGCAAATCAATCGTCATCATAGACCGACCTCGCGAAGTGGGTCCGACACATTTTCTGAGGCCTTTCAAAAGCCTTCGAGAAGATGCCACAAAGCGTGGGCATCTGTGTATCCAGGGATCCAGGCACATGCAGATTACTCGGCTACCCCGTATACTACCTGGCGTATAAAAGCCAAATGATTTAGAAAAACACCATCAAGTTTCAGCCATGAAATTTACTTCACTTGCCACTATATATCTGCCGCAGCGATGGCTGGCGCACAGCTGGTGAGCACAATGGCGACATACGTACAGACCTCAGGCCACATGCTTATGGCTATCCACAAATGTAGTGACATGCTCAAGGGGCACAACAACGGCAACGATTACGGGTATTGATGTGGACCTAACGGAAAGATTGTAGATTATTTGCCATGCTCATGCGAAAAATGCTGTTTCGTATCTCCTGATGGGAGTAAGTATAACTTTTAATAAACCTGAAGGCTTGTTCAACTAGATAATGCCTGTGAACACGTCCTCGTTGCTTTCTGAGTCCGAGTGCTGATATGCTTGTTTTCGCCAGTGCATGGAACCATTAGCATGTTACGTGCAAGAGGGCGTGAAGAAGTGCTGTAACACATTGTCAATAATATCACATGGCATGAAGTTTTGAAGCCAATTTATGATCACACTGTCTCGTATAATTATAATGTTTCATGATGTCGAATACATAGACCTGCAGGGAGCAGGACCATGTCTTGGAGGATCATTGCTTTTTCTTTGCAAGCGATTCAGCTTTCTCCATGATCCCACATTAGCAGTAGATCATCATCTAGACTGTCGAAGCACTCATGACATGTTAGGCGATATGCAGAGGGGTTAGGGGTTGGGACCCCTGCAGTAGATTGGCACAACCAACCTCAAAACGGGGCCGGAGGACGTAGTAAGGATGTCCAGCTTCAGGAAGATACCTCATGAATAGACACGGAGCTGGCTTCCAAACCAATACTATGGGAGTGGTAGGGTGGAATACAGGTGGAGTTCACATACTGGCGAATTACTTCCGCGGAACCAACCAAATGTTTCGTCCCTACAAATTATGGTAAACAACCCGGTAACTATGCCAGAGTGCATGATCCTTCAAGAACTGGGTATATATATGATGGTTGGGCAATCATGCAGAACAATAACAAATACAGGATTAGAAAAGAGTGAGAGAGAAATCTACCACAGTGAGCATTATCCGCAAATAGTGGGATATTGGAGGTCAGTAGGAGACTGGGGTACCCAGCCGTTTTGTAATCCAGCCATGTATGACCATTCGTCTGCACTTTCTGTCTTCCACGTCCACATCAACCACCCGTTTGATTTCTCATATGAAATAACCTGCGCTTCCCAGAACTGACGAAGGAAAGTTTTATAGCTCGAGCTGAAAGTAGATGCGCTTCCGGTAAGCCCAGTGCAACTTCCGACGTAAGTGGAACCAGGGTAGGAACCATCGTAACGGGCCCCGTTGCCCCTGCCGTTAAGGTAGGTGGCACAATCGGTAATGGCGGGTGACCATTCACCGACCATAAGCCAAAGGTCGAAATTGGAAAGAGTGGATTGAGTACCACACGCAGTATTGATATGGCTTTGCCAAGACATTTGAACATCCTGCGAAAACATACGGGATAAGACTTGGAAATGGCTTTCTATCTTGGGACATACCGCGTCGGAAAACACCTGATATATGTGCGTATCCATCGCCACGCCCTGGAAGTCGGGAGTGGTCTCGAATCCGTCCCAATAACTCAGAGGCTGGAAAGCATCATGAAGTAGAACGACAGTATTGCTCTGCGTCGATGTGCCGTACGGATACCTGCATAATGCATCAGCACCCTTCAATGAGCAGACAACGAGTTAGTATCTCTACCTGATATTTCCATAAGAATCGTAGTAATATTGTCTCAAAGGTGTTAGAACAGATGATCCGTAATACCCAGCTGGCCTGAAAAAAGCACGTCACATTCGTTCAAGAATGCTCTCTTAGGTGCACTCACTCGTTCAAGGGCGCGATGATAGAAACAACATTGGCCTGACCAGCAAACATGGAAGCAATCTGTTTGATGATCGCGTCTGTCCGGGCAATATTCGTTTGGTTTGACTGCCATGTAGGGTATGACATTCTGTGCCCAGAATTGTCGTACCTACAAAGTTGCGTGAGCTGTCAGGAGACACCAGATACAATTAGTACGCGCCCATTTTGGCTTCCGGGAGCCCCGTGAAGATCGACGATCAACTTGAGTCCGTATTGGCTAGCCCATTGTACAGCGTTCTGAAGGTAAGGTAACTGGCCTTGTATGTATGGCTCACCAGGGCCAACTTCAAAGGCCCAGTACCCGATAGGCAGTCTCACATGGTTCAATCTGCAGTATACCGACACGATTCAATTATGAAGTGTATGCTCGCAGAGCCAAGCACGTACCCGGCAGCAGCAATATTTGCAAAGTCATTCTGCGTAATCCAGGTGTTCCAGTGGTTCTGTAGTACGTTTGTTGCAGTGGCGCGGTCATAATATTGTCCAAATGTCCATTCATCGACAATATTAGGATTTCCTGTGTTGTCGAATATGCTGGGGGTGATCCATGGCTACGCCAAAGCATGATGATCAGCTAAGACCGTCGTCCGCCGTTATTGCACGTACCTCGAGTACGAGCCAACCTCCAAGGTTGACGCCTCGCACCTTCTGAGAACCATAAGGGAAGCCGGGAGAAAATTGAGATGATACTGAGTGGAATAGAGACAGCCCGACGAGGGCCAAAAACGCAGAGTGCATCAGAAAATGAGTGGACTCCACCGAACCAGGCCCAGCCGCATTTTATCGGAGTTTTATGGCTGCTCCATTGACCTCGGGCATTATTGAATAGAGCCGGCAGGAAGCAGAGAAGGCTGCGAAAAGTGCTCTCACCCCTCCGCACGTGTTCAGCACTATGTCGGTAGAGACTTTTTCGTGCGCAGGCTGAGGCTCCACTGCAGCTGCCGTTCCGGCGATACAGATTTGGATCCCCGGGTCAGAGCATAGGGAACAGAACGCCTAGACCTATCAGAAGTAAGGTAGTGTGATCAAATGGAGAATGAGTTTATAGAATCGATGTGGATCGTCCCAGGATAAGAATACAAGTTGCAGAAAGGCTACTACCCTCCTGGGCAACTCGATAGAGACGCGCATAGTATATAGCAAACGGACTTCGATTGTTGATTTGTCGCACACTGGAATCTGGCAGAAACGCATCCTGAGCTTTGCTCGAGCTTGTAACACAGTAGTCAACTCCAAAGATGAATACCGGGTTGAGATAGCATGATGCTGGCGCCGCGGAGGTACACCGCAACAGAGTATAACAGATCTAGGGTCCGTCTCGGCGAGATCCAGGTCTTCTACGGAGTGGACCAAGAATGGACTGTTCAGTCATTGGAAGTTTGGAGTGCGGAGTTGTGCTCCAACTTGTTGAAGCTTGTGGGGTCAAGTGGGGCCAAGGCGAGCCTATTTCTAGTCACGGTTAGTCTAGACGGAAACGAGCAGTTCCTGGGCAAGTGCTTGCGGCGAAGTTTTCTCTGCTTATCTAGTCCCCGAGACTAACATCACAGATTAATATTGTCAAACGCATTTGGAGGAAGATCGATTAAACGAGACAAAAAGTACGGGTATATGCTGGTATATGTTGCTATCATGAATCCGCGCTAATAAACTGTTTGGCATTGCTGCCGTTTTTCAATCGCAAATATCCGGGTATTCCAAGTCAGTCGGGTCCTGTGGTATCCATCCGTACTTCAACCCAGCCTGGTAAGTCCAGTCATCCGCATTCTCAGCCTTCCAGGTCCATTGAATCCATCCATCACCTTTCTCATAGGTGATGACCTGAGCTTCCCAGTATTTGCGCATGAAAGTCTTGTAGTCTGAGCTAAAGGACGTAGCATTGCCTGTTTTGCCCGTACAGTTGCCAACGAAGGTCGAGCCCGAGTAGGTTCCGTCATAGCGTGCTCCAGTGCCGCGACCATTCAACCATTTCGCGCAGTCTGTCGATGCAGGGGTCCATTCACCAACAAATATCCACAAGTCAAAGTCGGCGAGGCTAGACCCGTAACTGCACGCCTCTGTGATGTGCTGGGAATAGTTGTAGGCAACTTCCTGTTCCGTCGTTAATGCGTTGTTGCATCATGGAAGAAAGGGTGCATACCTCGTCTGAAAACATCTGGTAGATGTGAGTGTCCATTGCAACGCCGTCGTATCCGTCGACCATAAAGTCATCCCAATAACTGAGACTTTGGAAAGCGTCATGAATGAGCTCAACAGTATTACTTTGTGTAGATGAATTGTAAGGATATCTATAAATTCCGGTTGTTATTGGCTGAAATTAGGACGAGGGCCAAGTCCCTGCCTGATGTTCCCATACGAGTCATACCAATATTGCTTCACGACTGCGAGCATTTGGTCACCGTCATATCCTGCAGGTCTACGACTCATTAATCCAGCTGAGTAAACCTAGGATAGAAGGGAACCTACTCATTCAATGGTGCGATGATTGGCACTGTTTTGTACTCCGAATCGACCATAGAAATAATAGTCTTGATAATGTCATTTGTCCTATTGACGTTGGTCTGGTTAGACTGCCATGTTGGATACGACATTCTATGACCAGAATTATCAAAACTGTAAGAGGAAATATTAGCACCACATGTGATACAGAGATGGTGTCACTGTTGGATTCACCCGTTCTGACTGCCGGGGGCACCATGCAGGTCGATGATGAGCTTGAGGTTGCGGTTCGACGCCCAGGTAATGGCCTTCTTCAAATAGTCTAGCTGACCAGTTATGTACGGTTCTCCTGAACCGACCGCAAATGCCCAGTAACCGATGGGGAGACGAACATGGTTCAAGCTGTAGAATGTCTCAGAGGGAATTTGATGAGCATTGATTAGACCATACCCAGCTGCTGCAATGGCTTCAAAGTCATCTTCGGTGATCCAAGAGTTCCAATGGTCTTGTAAAACCGCGAGTGCGGTGTCGTAGTCCTGGTACTCGCCAAAGGTCCACTCATCGACAATATCATCGTTGCCAGTGTTCTCGAATATACTTGGGGTGATCCAAGGCTGGATACAAATTAAAAGAGGTTATTATCACAATATGTATGGGTATGGGTGCTTTACCTCTAGGACAAGCCAGCCGCCAAGATTGACTACCTCGTACTATTTCAGAACCGTAGTCAAAGCCCGGCTGGAAGGACAGCACGGATGGGACTGCGGAAACCCCGAGCACAGCAAGACTAAGCAAGCGATTCAGTAGGGGCATGTTGGCCTCGCAGCTGAGGTGAGGGATAAACGTGGGTGCTACGTATCATAGGCCTGTCTTTTGAGTTTTTATATGAAGAATCACTTTTGCACTAGTATAATAGTGGCTCAATTACGCATCGGTCACCTTCGTTTGTGATCCGAACGAAATCGGTTGCGCTTTAAGAAGATCAACAGAAATGGATCAACCTTGAAAATCTAGTGTGTAGACACTCACGCGGTCACATCATGATTCATGTTGACATATGTTCATAAGACCTGTATATATGTCGATGGACACTGGTGAGCGCGATTCAAGTTTGAAGTGAGCAAGGGTTTATAAATATTCACTGGGTGCGAGAAGGCACTCACACAAAAAAAATTACATACTTGAATCACGAAGTTCGGACTCCCTTCACATGCCGACATCGACACATCGTTGACGTGAAATTCAGAAATTGCCAGCACATGTGCATGATGCATGATCAAAAGGTCGCATCATTGGTGCACATTCTTGAATTGGGTCGTTGACGCGGTCGAACAATGGAAGTCACCCCACGCAATCAATCTGCATCTTCAACGTTGCCATCGATGCGCTTCGTTTAGCTAATTTTGTTCCAGACCTACAATAGACTTGAATAAACATAGATGGGCGCGCGCGCGCCTATACTTAATCCTATAGCATGTGCGTCATATTATAATTAAGTACATCAGATATCTACAGAAGAATGAAATCACCTACGATGAGCTCGTCAAAGGATCAAGCGCTGATCATCATCAAAAGCGTTTCATCAGGGCTATGTTGAAAGGGCTGTGGGCACTGGATTATCTAGACAACCACAAAGGCAGTTTCACCGTGACGGTGGGCAAGAACTTCGAGCGGCTAGTACCGGAATTGCTATTCAAATATTCATCCGTAATAAATAGCAAGTCTTCCTGTCCAGCTCACTCTAGCCCCACGTCCTTCTTCCAGCTCATCTTCTGATCCTTCATCTCATACATCATCTAGATCAGAATGGCCGTTGATAACATCCGCGACAGGTACCAGGCTGCTGGTCATGACCATCTATTCACGTTCTGGTCAACCCTTGAACAATCGGAACGCGAATCCCTCTCCCGCCAACTCGAAAACATCGACGTTAATCGCGTGAACAGGATCTACAAGAAGGCTATCGCCTCTGAGAAGGAAACTGCTGGCCCTGAGCCTATTGAACCCCTTCCCGTTGGGGCGTGTGAATCTATCGTCAATGATCCTGCGAGCGAGAAGAGATGGCGTAGTGAGGGTCTCCAGGCCATCGCACGTGGGGAGGTGGGCGTCCTCCTTATGGCGGGCGGCCAAGGTACTCGTCTGGGCAGTTCAGCGCCCAAGGGTTGTTATGACATTGGTTTGCCTTCACACAAAAGTCTCTTCCAGTACCAGGCTGAGCGTATCGCTCGCCTTCAAGTTGTTGCTGAGAAGGAATGCAACAAACCTGCAGGTTCAGTTGCCATGCCGTGGTATGTCATGACCAGCGGTCCGACGCGTCGTGAGACCGAGGCATTCTTCACGAAGAACAAGTTCTTCGGATTGAATTCAAAGAACGTCGTCTTCTTCGAACAAGGTAACAATGTTTGTTCCTTGTACCTCATTTATGTTGATCGGCGCCTTCAGGCACTCTCCCATGCTTGACTGCGGAAGGCAAGATCATGCTCGAGAGCACATCACGTGTTGCGGTCGCTCCTGACGGCAACGGTGGGTTGTATGCCGCTACACGCGCACCCATACCTCTATCCAAGTCTATCAATTCAACGGTTCTTTCCGACTTAACTGATCGCGGAGTCCTCTACGTACATGCATACTGCGTTGACAACTGCCTTGTCAAAGTTGCCGATCCCGTTTTCCTCGGCTACTGCATATCCAAGCAGGCTGACTGTGCTGCAAAAGTAGTCCCCAAGGCCTCTCCTTCGGAGTCAGTTGGTGTTGTCGCTCGTAGGGGAGAAAAGTTCAGCGTTGTCGAGTACTCAGAGATCTCCAAGGAACAAGCAGAACTTCGTAATTCCAAGACCGGTGAGCTGGCTTTCAATGCCGCCAATATCGCCAACCACTTCTACACAACGAGCTATCTCAAATCTGTCGAATCGTTTGAAGATGACCTTGCATTCCACATCGCTCGCAAAAAAATTCCCACAGTTGATCTTAAGACTGGGGAAGCAGTCAAGCCGAGCAAACCTAATGGCATGAAGCTCGAGCTGTTTGTGTTTGACGTCTTCCCCTTCACGAAACGCTTTGCGGTTTTGGAAGTTGCACGCAATGAGGAGTTCAGTCCGCTCAAAAACGCGCCTGGAACTGGTGCAGATGACCCAGAGACCAGCCGCCGCGACCTGCTTGCGCAGCACAAACGGTTCCTGGAGAGGGCTGGTGCCCAGGTCAAGGATGGTGTGGAGATTGAGCTCTCGCCATGTGTCAGCTACGCTGGCGAGGGCCTGGAGTTTGTGAAGGGTAAGACCTTCACCAGGTCGGGTTACGTTGAAAACCCCGAGGAACTCGATGCCCTTCTCTAGTCGGTATAGCATATCTTCATGGACCTCTGATCGAGTCTGGATGAGATACCGTGGACTTTTTTTGTACGACTACTCTTTTGCATCGGTACATGGACATCCTCTTTCGGTTTTTCAATCAATACGCCTTACTTGTACACCCGATCATTTGATATCAGTAGTGATTCGCTGCCCCTAGAAAACGAGCTGAACAACAATAAACATAATGACGTTCAACCTCCTACAGGGCCGCCATCTGCAAGTTTGGCTCCCCGCTTTTCCAACTCATCTCGAAGAGAAGCAAATAAGCGTTGGGTCCGCTCGGCATTTGGCTGTATCAGTACGTCAAATCGAAGACGCACTGCTGCATGGCATAGATGCACACACCTCCTTGCAGCAGGTAATGAGCTTATCGATCAACATTGTTTGTCCGTTCTGCGCATCTTCTAACTCCTTGCGGAGATTCTGATTCTGGATTGATGTTGAGAAAGCTGAGGGGGATGTACTATAATTATGGATGGAATTTGAATTACCTCGTCGTCCACTCTGTCAGCACGGGATTTCTCCCCCTCAGCCAGTTGCTTCTGCTCGGCTGCTCGAGCGCGAGATAGGAGAACCTCTAACTCTTTCGAACGGATGACACATTCAAAATGTCGTTCGCGAAGCTCATACTGTCGGAGAACTTCCTTCAGTCGTTCTCGTACACTATAGTCACAGTTTAGAGGGTAAGCATTCTCAATAATGGAATACGCACACGCCATCGAAGATATCTTCTAATGACCGCCGAGCGCTAATCACAGTGTCAGTTGAGCGAATCAATAGAGCAAAAAAGCCCACTCTTGTGGATCATCCGTCCAGTTCTTCCTGAGGCGCTGACGACGAGATTCTGGAAGGTCATCCTGTATGGTATAACTCTTAACCTCAGTTTCCAGCACGATTCGTGTCACCACTCACCCAGTCATCCAACCCAGGTCCTTCGGTAAGGTCCATGAGCTCTACAGCAAGAATCTCGTCTCCGTCTTCTACTCCTTGCTCTTCTGGTGTCTGGTCTGCATCTATTGTCCGACCATTGTGGGAGAAAATGAATTGCATGGAGGATGACGCATTGGACCCGACGGTGTGCGTGCTGGCAGCTTCCGACTTGGCAGTGCCATTCATCTGCTTCCCGCTCACCGATGTTTTTCCCTCATCCTTCTTCCCGCCCGTCGCCTCCATTCTGTCCGTCCACGCATTGAACAGCCGGGAGAACTTGGTTTTGCGTGAGATTTTGAAGAAGAGCTCGGCTCGATATCGGCAAACTACTTTCACAACAATGTCAGGCATTTCGCGATATTTGACGTCTTGCGTTTTGGCTTTGTCCACTCGTTTTGCCATGTCAGATTTCATTTGCATTATCTGAAGGCAGTGTTGGTGAAGCTACTAGCAGAAGAAGTGACACGTACCTCTTCTTGTGCCTCTTCTATGCATTGTGCTAGACGTTTACTGTCCTCCTAGGCGGTGTAAGCATAGTAGATGAACCTTGTTTCGCAGTAATGCATACCCGTAGTCTCTTGTTGTCCTGCACAAAAGTCGGTTAGGAAAATAAAAACAGGTCATGAATCTGCTGACCTTTTGGAGCTCACGAGCCAAATTCTCCATTTTAACTTTAGTCTGGTTAGCCTTCGTCAGTTGACTCTTTGCTTTATGGATACAGTGGGGTATGAGTATTTCAGAACAGAGTGGGTCAATCGTACGTACCAGAATCCTTGTCCTTGGCCAATTTCTGTTTTTCCTTTGCATGGTCGCGTTCCAACCGCTTTAGTTCTGCAAACTGCAGTTCCGTGATTCAGAAATGCATATATCGGACATGCGAATGATAACGCACGAGCTCAATGTATTTGGCATGAACTGCATTCTCCTCCATGCCTTTTACAGACTTTACAGCCTCCTCAGCTGATGCACGCATGAATGGTGTATGAATTTGAGAGATAGGACACACGCACCAAATATCTTCTCCTCCTCCTCCTCGAGCACCTCCTCCTCTTCCAGAGCCGCGATCCTGCTCTTCAGAGACTCGTACATGGCAGCAGGATCGACGGGTGTATCGTTCTTTTTCTTTCCTTTCTGACTGTGTGTATAAGTCCCATTAACGACGGTGTTATTGGAGTGAGGTGGTAGTGTTCGATTTGGAGTGGGTGAATTCGGATGATTAGGAATAAGCGGGGGCGCGACGGAAGGCGCAGAAGGAGCGAGACCCGTTGGAGGAGGTTTGGCTGGCCGCGAACCTATTGCATTCTGACTGGGAAGGATGTTTGTACCGTTCATAGGTATTTGATCCCCAGACGTCGTGCTAGTGGACCTGCGCGGTCGGCGAGGGATGCAAGGTATGAAGAACTTTAGGAAAGCAATGTTTTGAGAGCGTGGAGGTCAGCTGTGGGCTTTTTGTTTGGCCAGACCAGATTGCCAGTGCTAGTGATTAACAACAATTTTTCAAACAAGACGGAATGGGCGGAAAGTCATGGACTGGACTGGCGTTTAATAGAAGATGATCAATATTATATTTGCGTTTCAACTATAGGCGTACTAGTAGGCCGACCGAGAAATCTCAATGAAATAAATTTTACTGTTCAAAATTCTACGGAGACTCTAAAAAACATAACCCGGTATCAGAATAATGTCAGATCATACCAGCAAATCAAAGTCTTCTTCAGTGCTAGTGCCACTGTCCACAGCTGTGGAACGCACATTCCGCTTAGGCTGATGTAATGCCACACGTGATCAGATTTTAAGACGCGTCGCGTAGATGGCTCTTGACACAAACACTCAAGCGACCTTGTAACTGTAACAAAAAATGTACAATCTAGGTGAGACACTTCATGGGGATCTTTATTTCAGGCCTGACATGCAACTTTGTAGATTCCTCTCCTAGTCCACCCAGGAAGAAAATGAGAATGTCTTCTCCGACCTATGACGAACAAGTCGATGACTTGAGTCAAGACGATATAAGCGCTTTCGATGCCATAGAGGCACGCCTATCTCAGCCAGCTGCTCTACTTCTCAAAGTACTCCTACCCATAAACTCGCACCCCAGGCTCAGCTCTGGCGAAGCTGGAGATCGTAGCACTTCGTCCGATCAGGACATACTTTCTTCACAGGACATAGCCTCTCAAGGCGACAACAATCCTTTCGCTTCTGACCCATTCTCTGATTCAAATTCCACAAAACCAGGCGTATATACATCTTTTACCAAGGCATCTGCCGTTCTCCCTCCAGTAGGCTTCAAGTCTGCATCGGCTTTGCCTATCCAGAATGTGGATGACTCACGCCGTTCACCTTCACCCGAAGTACCCCCGGATGCCGATTACTCTTCTTGGTTTACTTCGGCTCCTCCTGCAACTTTTGTAGGCTTTCAATCTGCTGCGTCTCGCCTCGACAAAACCAAAGAGAATGTCCCCGAGGCGACTGACAGTCACAATACACCTATAGGTTTTACGTCCGTCGGCCAAGGAAAACTTATTATCCCATCAACTGCTGCATTGCGGAAGGCCGAGGAAAAGATCAAGCTGTGGCAGGGAGAGGTTGATGATTCGAGTTCCTCCCAACATCCTGGAGGGTTTGTGCCCTCTTCTTCAGCACAGCCATCCTCGCCTCAGCGCACCGTTCTGGGTGCAGTGCACAATTCCTTGTCGCCTCAACTCCCAGATACGCCGACTCCTGCAATGGCTACTCGCAAGTCATTTGAAACTGGAGCACAATCGACACTTGACGCACCAACACTTGGTGTCAGCAACTTAAAGGGAAAGCAAAAACCGTTCAAATCTCCTTTAATAACCTCCGTACCATCACGACAGCCTATCGCGGGAATAGCCAGTTCTACATATGTCAACTCTCCCCTCAACCCTCATCGTCAGGGCTTTGCGTCCGCATCTTCTCATATGACTCCATCTAGTTCTGCTATACCAGGAACGCCTGTCCATCCCTCACCATCGGTTAATCCTGGGGGCGCATTTCGACCACTGGGTCTTACGCCGCGAAATTTACGTGGTGGTCTGGTCAAGAACAAGTTTGTGACGCCTTTCAAACCAGGCGTCAAACCTCCAGAATTGAACAATGCAGTATCGGCTACACCGTCGTCTGCTGCCCCAAGTCTCAGCTTACAGCGACCTATGTATCCGCCCTCAGCAACCCAGTCTCCTAGACCAATAAAGAAAGCTCCCGAAAAGGGTACAGGCAAAGTATTCAACCTTGGTAAGTTTTTCAGTGCGGTGATTCACCGGTCAACTTATCACTCTTGTTACAGCCCCTCCTGCAGGAAGGATGACACTTGCCAGTTCTGGTCTTACACCTCAGACTCACACAACTACAGAGCTTGAGGATCAGGGAATGTCAGTCAGTCAGTTCAGCTGCAACACTAGATTGTTGACACACTTCCATATAGAAATATTACAGAACTATCCCAGATAACACCAGCTACCGCTCTCTTTTACTCGTTCTATACGCCATCCACTACGCCAAACGAAGGTGTTCAGCCCTCTGATGCGAAGCCTCTCGGACCTGCTACCGCTCTAGAAGAACTCCACGCAAGAGGGTGTTCGTTGGCTACACAGGAATGGGTCAATAACCATTGGCCGCTTATCCTCTGGAAGCTCGCTGGAATGGTCTTACTTGAACCAGAAGCAGAGTCCGATCCCAATCGCAAACGATGGTGCTGGCCTGAAGTGATCCGCCAGCTACTCTACAGGTCTGTGCCGTCTACCTATCCGTTTCTTCCCTGACCAACCACTGGCGCAGATACGAACGAGACTTGAACGGGTCAACACGGCCACCACTACGATTGATTACCACAAGAGATGCGCCTGCTGCATCTCCGATGGTGCTCTGCGTGTCAAATGTAACTTGGTCACCAGCTGGAGAGACTGACGACGGTTTCCCCATTCCTTCACATCCCGAGTTAGAAGTGACAGACGGATGGTACAGACTGCGCGCGAGGGTCGACAAGCCACTTGCGAGAGCCATCCGTAAGGGTCATATCAAGATCGGGAGGAAAATCGCTGTTACTGGAACCAGGGTGAGAGACTGGAACTGCTCCACATCGTGATATTAATTAACTTTCCGTGCAGCTCTCTGCAGAGCGCAAAGATGGACAAGAAGTCCTCGAGGCATATGATTCGAATGTCCTGGTGCTGACAGGCAACTCGTCCCATATGGCACCCTGGCACGCAAAACTTGGCTTTCAGCAAAGTCCATTCATCGCGACCCTCAACAGCCTCACGGCGGACGGTGGAAACGTGGCCGTTGCAGCTGTCGAAGTCATCAAGGTAGGATGAGCGTGTAACACCCAGACACGTAGCTGACTCTAGTTTAAAGATTCATCCCATCGCATATATTGAATTCTTCGAGGACGAAAACGGAAAGCGGATGGAGGGTCCCCGCAGTGCCAAGGATGAAAATGCCTTGAGTGAACAATGGAAGGTGAGATGAAGAGCTCTGCACCAAGTCCAGCGCTTACATTCTATCTCAGAAGAAGCGCGAATTCGCCGCCTCAAAGATTTGGACAGATCTTGAAAGACGAGCGGCGGTGATGATGAGGTTTGCAGATAGGCTTGAACATCGTGTGGGTCCGGGCTTCAATGTCAAAAACGAAGGTGAGAAGTCGGTGATCAAGGTTTGTGTGTTGCTCACGCGCTATTTTAGAAATGCCGGACAACCTTGACGATTTATATGAATCCTTGGAGGAGAGTGACCATCATCAAGCCCAAGCGATACTTTCACGGCTCAGCCGCCTTGAAGCAGGCAGTCTTACTGGACACATTAGAGAGAAGCTTCTCCGGGATCGCGAAGCTGTCGCCGGAGATATCGAGCGAGAATTGCAGGTAAGTTTGATACTTGCATGAAGTTGTTTTTACTGAGCGCTTCCCCAGGATAAATGTCCCCCTCGGGAAGTACGCAGTTTCCGTGTTATCATCGTGAAGGATGCATATACATCCACACGAGGCGGCGACAATGGTCGCAAAGCCCAGCTAACCGTCTGGGATGTACTCAACTTATCGATTGCCGAAGGATCCCAAGCAGGAGAGTTTAAATTGGGCCAGAAGTTCCTCGTGAGTGATGTATTTTTCAGAGGAGTAGGAGTGTCGTCTAACGACTACCCCAGGTGACAAATTTGATGCCCAAGCAAGTATCTGCCTGGATGAACCGTGGCCCTGGATCTGAAGTGTATCTTGCCACCACAAAGAATTCTAGGTGGAAAAGGTTGTCATGAGGAGACAATTATGCAAGAGTGAGGTTTTTTATTAAGTGTAGTGTATAGGTTGAGGTGTAATGATATTATATACTCAAGGCCAGCTTTGCAAGCGACCTCCATTTCGTCGACAGGTTGAAAGGCCTACTGACACTGAGCAAGCTTGAAACACTACGCACAGCTCTGTCACTCGGATATGGTGTAAAGGTAACATATCCGCCTCTCATCGTAGGGTGCGCGGTTGCTCGGGGTTCGATTCCCCGTATCCGAATCATTTTACCTTCATGATGATCCAATCCCGTCATTGAATATTGAGGAACTTCTACAGATCAGATCCATTTTTGTTTCTTCAAGATCTATCGATTACTACGAATGAATTGACTTCGGAGCAGGACCCGATCTACCTACATTAAGTCGACGGGGTTTAGACCTGAAGAATGCGCTTTCATCACTGACAATGTGCTTTATGCCTGCCCTCCCTTGACTGCCGCCCGCCCGAGATCCAACCCCTGGGTCATGGGAACAACGTTAGATGTCCTGCAATCAGATGACCACCCCCTGGCACCCCGTCTGCTTTCCATACACTGGAGGAATCTGTGCACAACGCTATGCTCACTCTCGTTTCTGGATATTCAGATGAAGGGAGGTCGCTATCGCATTGGGAAACAAATGTCAAATGTGAAGAGGCGAAGGGGAGGGCTGCATTATGTGTAAACTGGGGCACGTGAATGGTATCGGCATCTTACTGGTGCGTATGTATTGTGACAGAGTCCGTGCAGTGTGTTCTACCTTGTTATAACTGACAAGTGGATTGCGATAGATAAATTAGGCCCCTCACTTTCTAGAGTGTAATCATATCCGTGGGCACTCACTACATCGAAAATCAACCACCAATCACATCCTCTTCAAATATTGCGTCGTCGAACATCAACGTAGAAGAGTTACCTCCTTTCCTGCGACTTGGACCCAAGGAGGGATTTTTTTCCTGTGGCGAGGTCTTCTTGCCCTTGATCCAGAAGGACTTGGAGCACTCAATAATTTTTTGGGGGAAGAAAAATGCAGGCCAAGCAGCCCTCCGCCACATACTAGCTCCAGGCTTGTGGATTGTACTGTATGGTTGTAAAGCGATAACGGTCCATGTGGTGACAAGAGTCAGCGTCAAAGTCACCCAAACATAGCGCGTGATCGTTTCTAGGGTGCCGGGAGAAATTTCGCGCACATTCATCCCAAAGACCGACTGTTCAATCAGTGAGCGCTTCTTCGTGTTATACATTCAAATACATACAGCAGTTAAACTGGCGGGCAAGAAGACCATGGTCAGGTATGATATCTACAGAAGGCAGCATGAGCTCTGTCGGCGCACATGTAGCTGCCAGCGCACCAGTTTCATCGCTGCAGAGTCTCGAAGAGTTGCCCTAGTTAATCTGTGCGTTTGACGACTGTCCTCGATGTTTACAGTCGCGAATGCCAAATCTATGGCATTCTTTAATCGACTGATGAACATCGAACATCTCCTGTGCAACCTGTCGACCTCGGAAAGGAGGTTCTTGCATTCTCGTTGCATCAGCTCTTTTGTAGTTGCCCTATTTTCTGATTTTTCCATTGCAGGGTTTGGAGTCTCCATAACAAATGCGACCGATTTCTCGAAATCATGAAGGAGGGCTTGGTACTGGAGTAGGTGCGCCTGAAGGCTGTGGAGGCTATGGTTGAGGTCGGCCATAGCGATGAAGTCGGAGCCATTCAAGATTACCTCCTGGGCATGATGAGCCTTCCCCACAACTCGAATGAATTGCATACACACCAAATCCTTGATGCGGTTATACAGCACTTCAAATGTTTCATCCCACGCATATAACGCGTACCACAGGATCACCAGAAAGAAAAAGGTCGGATCTTCAGATGCCATGAATATTTTGTTCCAGTAAACACTTCCACCTGCGCGCTCCATAACCTGATACAAGCGCTCGGCGGTGGTGCGATCACGTAGCGGAGGATGATACGTTATGATCGTAGAAGAATTCTTCTCGCGGATCATGTGAACTGCCAGAAGGTCGATGAGAAGGACATGTTCGCCTATGAAAGGACTGAGACAAAATCGTGGTAAAAGCAAGTACGGATTACCGTGCAGGTTAAGCGGTGCCATGACATCTATGGTGTTCTTCCTGTCATTACATTCTGTATGCTTTGTGATGAGAAGCGGTCCCAGTCAACTGTCGAACAAATCACGAACTCATGCCTGATAGGCTCTTCTTTTTCTTCTCCGTGGTCCGAATAAAAGGAAGGATAACTGTGATATCTACCGGAACAATAGATTAACAATCTCAGTTGACCAAAAGGCAGTCATCAGACGTACGATCCCCCAATCCATGTCGAACCTCTTCCCGGTATCGCGAGGGAATCCAGTTGGTGGAGGATGAAAAGAAGAATGCCTCAATGTTATACCTATGAAAGTGCCAAATTGGAAAAACATTGAAGCCGGCCGGGCCGGAGTACGAACTTGGTCCCCAACATCTTCAAAACGGATTCCGACAGGTTATCCACGAATAACGCTCGAACGCGGACGTTCTCCCGAACCTGATTGTGGTCATAATCACTCATCAATTTAGTGAGATGGGGTATCACAACACTTTCCTCCTTCTGTAATTCTGACCAGAATTCGTTTTCCTTCTCTTCCGACACCTCAACTTGAACGCGGTGCAGCCCTTGCTCCCGTGTTTTGAATTGACCGTCGCCCGTTACGTCAATGCCATATATAACGCACGGTTTCATGGTGCGCGCACATTGTGTCAACATCTCGCTTCGTGCCACCGGAATCGGACTCCAGTTGCCAAAAAGTTCTTGCGGGTATCCGCGCCATTCATGTTCGCCCTTCCGAAATGGCAGCTCAGAGGATGAGAGGTCGGTGTTGAAATCTACCCAAGGCCATGGTCCCGAGGGTGCTGCATGACGATATCTGCACCGGCACATATTCCTGAATGTTTGAAAGGCGAGAAAGATGAGAACTCTTACACTGGTACTGGAATCGAACACTTCTGCGTGTCTACCGCCGTATTTGGTTTGTTGCTGTATGACATGCAGGGGAACAGGTAGCTTAGTTTGTGTCTACTAGACTGGAGGTGGGTACATCCACCTGTGGGCGAGATTTTGCCGCCTAAAATACCTATCCACTAGCGCCGGCCCTGGCACACCAGTCCGGCTGCTCAGCGGCGCTTATTCACCAGCCCATTTACAGCTCGAATTAGGATGGTTTACAAGAACATTCCGTTTTAAGTGACAGTCGAGGCTCATCTCCGTTATCGGCAGCAATCGATTCAGTGCTGCGGAAAACCTCAAGTGTGAACGGAAGAAGCGAGCACTCGCAGTAATGAGTTTCGCTTGTCTGTGGCGTGGCCTACATATCCGGGCCTTGCCTGGACTGAGGAACTTGCATAGGCCACATAGGCCCGAGCAAGCACTGTGCCTTTTGCTAATGCGATATGCTATACAATTGTCTTAGCTGATATGGGCTGGACAGTGCAACTTTGATCGCTGTTGCACTGATTGGTCCCTATTATACGAAATCACACTTCCGACATGAGTTTACAGCACCCTGTTATGGCTCCGAGCCAGTTCAGTTCCCTCGATTCCCCCCTGCAAAAAGTCCGAACATCTTCACGGCATTCACAGGGTTCAAGACCCCAGGACACCTCTAACATGTTCGCCTCGAGGTATACTTGAGGACCTCGCCGCCTGCTAGTATGTACGCCTCTACTCCAGCATAGGCATTTCTGCTTTCCTTCCCCCAATGCCCATCAAGCTCCACCGACATGCTGTTCCAATTATACGTCTTACTGCTTCCACTTTTGCCGAACTCCTGCTGCCTGTATTCCCTTTTGCTGCGCATCATCCCTCTTCCGCGTTTTCTCTCTCTTTGTGTTGTCTGTTTAGTATTATCACATAGTGCATATCTGCATCAGTAGCGTAGCCAGTCAATGAAAATCGTTCGTCGTTCATCTTTGCATGGATTTATATGCATGAGATTAGTATTATTTTGTAGTCTGCCTAACCATAATTCTAAGCTCTAAGCTTGCTCCTTGTGAAAAATGCGCGAGTGTTCTTCTCGTGGTCTATGCAAGCCAGGTTAGCAACACTCAACTGCAGCTCAAGTCAACGTTGTCATTGTGTTTAGAAACATGAATCTAACCATATGATGTAACAGAATGTATAGATAGGTACGGGTGTGGGTAATGTGAACGTAATGAGGCAGAGAGCACAGAATCAGGGTGCTGACCACGAGATCTTGCAGGCAATCACCAGATAGCGAGAGGAAGTAGACAACCGCACGAGGATGACAGGAAGGTGCGGGAAGTCGAAGTGAGCAGCGAGAGACTGCGGTAGGTCATGGCAGAAGCGTCAGGTCAGCGGGGGCACAGGAAATGTTACGGTTGAGTGCGGGAAGCACCATATTTATGAAAGGGTGAGGGGGGGTCTGTGTTGACGTGCCAAGGGACGTTACCCTTCGAGCGTGGGGCTGTAGAAACATGAAGGTTGTGTTGATGACGGCGCCAGGGCCGCAGGAGGTTGAGGGAGTACGAAGAATGACCTGGTTGAGCTCGAGGTTGCCATTAACATTGGGCAGGGATGGTAGCGTGAGGTCAACGTTAACCATCACTTCGATGCCGGCCCCAGGGCTGTGGGTGGTTGGGTGTGTTGAGTAGGGCGCAGTTGTAAGTAGGTTACTGCTGGTGCCGGTGATTCTGCGGAAGGATGGCCATCGTCGTCGTCGATGACGAGGAAAAAAGAAAGACAGATAGCAAGCCGAGCATTCAGAATATCAAACTTACACAGTCACCGACTTCCTTGGGGTCTTTACTAGGGCTACTAGTAAAAAGACCGGACTTTATGTTTGCTGTATTGAAGCAAATAGTTTGAATGGAAGCCCCAAAGGGGCGACCCGGTCCCGATAGCGGCCCCAACCTGTGCGAGAGAGAGTCGAGGTGAGCTGCGAGGGCGGGCGGGTAGCCTCAAACTCAGCAGGTCTAGCCTAGTACCAGCCACCCGGGCCCCTGGAAGAAGGATGTGGTACTAGTATGTAGTTGAAGTTGACTACCTTTAGGTACCAATAGCAATGTAGGCTGAGAGGGTCCGAGAGACAACGAGGATAAGGGAGTGGTGGGTGGTGAAACGAAAGGCAGAAGGCAGCAGGCATGTTTGAGCCTGCTGGAGCGTGGCGTGAACACTGCGTGGTGCGGGGACAAGAGAGGCCACGTGCTGCACTGCCGCCTCAGCCTGCCACAAATTTAAAGTCCTAATTCTAACCCTACGCTCGTACCTTGCTTCGGGGTAACTGACTGCTTGGACTTTTTGCCAGAGGCAATTAGCTACAGGGGAACGGAGCTAGCCCGGAGTCATAACAGGGTGCTCAACACTCTTCTGACATGCTTCTGCCTCGTTCCGAAAGATCCTGCAACAATGACTGGCGAATCTCGACTCTCAGTCTCTCACGATAAGTGGGGGAGGTTCCAGGTATCTGCAGCAAACGTGCCGGAACTTCTCTGCAAACGTACCTGGCTGCCATTAAGGTTTCACGAATCAAAACTGTGCAGTGATCTCGTCTTCGCTTTTCGTTCTGCACACCGTTGGGTATTGTTATCGTCTTTTTTTGGACTGCTTACACGTGGGCACTGGGCTCCGTGATCTATTCTTCATTGACTTATCGTTTCACTCAGCATAGAAGTTGTTTTCATCTTCAATGGTCTCTGGAGTTAGTAAATTTTCAGCAAGCCTTTCTGACGTATTAGAGATCTTCACACGAATAAATGAATTGCAGGACGATCTTTATGCAGAGTGTTCGACAGGTCAAGGAGAATATAGAGACGTCAGCGAATAGCGGTGGTATTAATCTTCAACAACGGGAAGAGCTCGAGGATAAACTACTAAACACCAGTGATATTGCGTCTTTCTTGATACCCAGTACCCGTGATTTGACGTTAACGTTGACGTTGACAACATGGCCTGTAGAATCAGAAGATTGAAGTACTAGTACTATCAATCACACGCACTCAGTCATTCCATGAACCCGTGGCGCAGTGGTAGCGCGTATGATTCCAGCTGAACTTCAAGTTCTGGACATCCATAAGGTCATCCGTTCAATCCGGGTCGGGTTCACTTTTTCGTGTGAAAAACGCCATGTGGCCCGTATCAGCGGCATGGTGGCTCGATTTCTTTTTGGTTCTGCCACTGGCAGTGTATGTCCATCCACAGAATTTGAGCTAATGCCATCAGATCTTGTGCCAGGCCGGTTTTGCCAGATATCCTTCCACAGAATTTGAATAGGCTATCAGATCTTGTGCCTACCCAGCTGATCGATCTTGCCAGTAACTATGCCCATTCACAAAATTTGAGTAGGGCTAGTAGATCTTGTGCTTACTCTGATCCGACTACAGTGCAAGTGACTCACAAGCACACTGTTGTTATTCCACTGTGTGTACCCGTGGCTTACATTCCCTGTGCCTATCAATACAGGATTCAACTTGTGTCAAGGTCAAGTCGTATCATCGCCCCTTGTGTGCTTACTACCAATCCCGCTCAGTAAGTACTGATCCTGCCACCAGTCTGTGATAAATATAGTAAGTGCTTCATATCAACTGCAGAGCAGTATCAACGTGCAAGTTGGCCGGTTGGGTCAAAATCGCCGAGGAATTTGGACATTCAAATTATTCCGGATATCAGAGATAGTGAGTTATTGCAAAATTTCTTTCAAAAGGGAATGCTCAAATTTCGACAACAGTTACATACCGCTATGTGCTAGTACACGCTTCTAAGGCAAGTATCGAATAGGTGTAGTCAATCTTACTGCCCAAATGCGAACACAACTGCTACCCCACGGATCGCCAGTTTGTCGCCTGTGACAGTGCTTGATGCAGCTATCAGATGGTTGCGAACGGCACGGCATCCAGACCACTCTGGGAACGGTTGGACACTGTTGTCAGGAGGTGGCCGGTAATTTTATTCAGCGTTAGTTGGCATCAGAATTCTTTGCATGCACTACAGCACGGGCATTGACCATGAATCCCTCATATGGACCCAACACAGCTTCTCACGACGAAACATTTATACTCTCGAGTCTTTGCCCTTTCACAAGGTGGTTGCCTACGCTCGACTGTCCAAGGAACCTCACACTGGCTTGTGCCTCCGTGCACGGAAATCGCCCGAGATATTCTCCTATTTGAATCTGACTCAACCGGTAGCACGACCGTAATCATGGGCATACCTATGGACACAGCTGCTTTCTTAGGTTTAGTTCTCGAGACCTTGTTGTATGGTGCGTAACCGATCACAAGTGGAAAGGTCATGGTACTAAGCTTCACTATCCCAAACAGGCGTGTTCCTCACTTTATACTGGTTCACGTTGTTCATCCTACTCAAGAAGACCGGCATTCAACGGCAACTCCTTCTCCCAGTGGCAACCTTGTTGCTATGCATTGCATCGACCGTAAGTCGCCGAGTGTAGTCGAACCTCTTCGAGGAGTAGCTCAACATGGTCGCTTTCAGCATTTAATCATTGGTCTTGTTCGAGCGTTAGAGGCATTTGTATTCAAGGTGGATACGATTGGGGCGAGTGACTACTATTCCAACTTTGCTTCGCCATTATTTGTTGCATCAACGGCACTTTGCGTCACGCAAACCATTCTCGCCGATGCGATAGTTGTGAGTTTCTTTACATGGTATGTTTGTTTCCCCCTTTAAGTAGGGCCGTAGGTGTGGCGATGTTATGTACTCAACGACAGAAGTCTGTTGGTTGCCATTCCTGGTTGTATCATGCTTTTAGCCAGCGTGGGTGAGTATCTCGAATGGTACTATTCGACCATCGTCTTATCCTGAAATATTTCGCAGCCACTGGATACTATGGTATCGGGTCCCTTTCTCGGGCCCGTCTGCTGTCTAATGTGCCCCCCGCTGATTATGGGTGTATCGCTACGTTCGATGCATTGACCATGGGTCTCAGTGTTACCAGTACCAGTATGTCGATTGGGTCTAATCTGCATGCTCCTGACGAACATAGTGATGCAGGTTTGAATGCTTGGCGCATATATCGCACCCGCTATGTCATGCCAGAGCGTTTTGCTGCTTTTCTACCCATTTTTATCGTCGTCATCGAGAGCGGAGCATTTTATTCCACGAGTATCCTTATGCTCCTCTTAACATTCTTCATCGGATCCAATGGCCAATACACCATGCTGGACATTATCACACCTATTGTGGTGAGTTTGCAGAGCTTAGACCTACATGATTCACAGCAATTTTGTTCAGGGCATCACATTCTGCCTCATCGTTCTGCAAGTACACTTCAACATAGGTGGCTCGTCGGCCGAAAAGCCCACTGAAGCACAGGGTGCTATCACGAGCCTCTTTCAAGAGCGAGGTATACGGGAAGGCTTCAGCATAGAACCAATGATTGTACATCACAGAGGAACCGGAGATCGTTTAGTCTGATATGATACGCAGAAGGAGGACGATCTTCCCTTCGAAATTAGAAAGAACGGTTAACGAGTCTCGAAGGGTGTCTTCTAATTGAGGATAGGTTCGTATTCGATTCTTGGTAAGCAGGTAGATATGTCCACTTTCTCTGAATAACAGCTTGGAATGCGAGGACAGTGGTCAGTTTATAGCAATCCAATTCCATTGATGTTCTTGAAAGCACAAACAAGATGTCTTGGGTCTCCATAATTTACAGTAATCAAGGTGTCCTCATTCGTCAGGGGAGATTATGCAGAATTTAAGTGTATATGTGTCATAGTCCTCAGATACTCTCTGATCTACTCCTCTTCGCCTTCATCATATATCCATTCCTTCGGCCATGTGGGCGAGATCTCCTTCCAGTACGTGAAGTATGTCTCCAATCTCTTACGTCGCCCCTGCTCTGCGCGCACTACATCCCTCACATTCTTCGCCTGCTCCCTCAGCATTTTCGCTCTCTTGCGTAGAACGGCAACCTGAACGAGAACACGCTGATCGTCAGATGTGATCTGTTTCATAATCCCCACCGCCCGGTTTAGCATCTGTGGTTTTTCGGGCGGGGGGGTGCCTGCACGCGAGCTGACGGGGGAGCCATGTTGACTCGCGTAGGATAAATAGGAATCAGCATCGCTAGTGTCATCGTCCGGAGCCGAGTGCCCAGGGTGACTTTCCAGTACTGGTGAAGGACCTTGCAATATTACTGCTGAATTTGCAGCAGCGACATCAGCAGCATCTCTGGCTACTGTAATCGGTGCACTTTTTTCTGCGCTCAGCGCAGATTTCTGAGACCCTTCCTGGGTAGGAGGACGATGAACTAGACAAATGTCAGTTTTTTGCACTGTGATGTGACACATGACACTCACGACTTATGTCAGCAGGTTCGTCCATGATTTGTGTTGACGGACCAGCGACTGGAGGGATTTCCTCGCTAGCTCTTCTTATTGACCCAGAAGGAGGTTGGTCTTGCATGCTAGTTCTCAACCTCTTCCTCGGAGGCTTTTCACTCCCTTCATCCTGACTGAACTATCATCAGAAAGGTCCATTATGCCGAGCATGAAGGGCACCTACTTTTGCGGAACAACCTTATAGAGCTTCAGGAGCTCTTGGATAATTGTCTCGCTCTTCATGTTAGCCTTGATCTTATTTTCCTACTTCCTAATCATTTACTGTGTGGCATTCATAAAAAAAATTGCGACGCACCTTCGCGAGCTTTTGCAGCTTTGCACGGGTGAGCTTACGGAGTGTAGCTTCGTCCATGTCAAGTGTCCCCGGACATACAGCCAGGGTCAGGTGCTTAGATGTGTGTGCGTCGTGATGAAGGGATACGTCGTTCATCCTGCGTAGTGTTATCTTTTGCAAACGGATACCCAGATAGAGAGAGATGGTGCTGGTCGTCGGGACTGACGAGCTTGTACTAAATAAAGATTAAAAACAAGTGAGGTGCTTTTATGGAGGTGGGATGTGGTCTGCAAACATTCACAATTTGAATCCACACCTATTGCGGTGGTACAAATATGTCCACATTTATAGAATTGTACCACAAGCTTCAAGGGAGCCGGCTTCAGTGCTCCAGCCGAATTACTGTGGAGTTGATTGACACGAATAACGTACAGCACTCAGATCGTGCATCACGGACCTTGGGCACTCCCTTGTGCTCCCACCATGCTCCCACTCTTGGCGATTGACGAACCATAGTCATATGATTCAAACATGCTGACTGTGCGACTTGCAGTACCTTCTCTTGAATGGAAAAACTCATCCTGAGTGGGAAGAGTGAGTGATTGATAAATCAGACCTGAGGACACTTTGCAGTAGGATACTCTCAAGGAACAGGCGTTCGACGAGGAATGCTGATTTCCTGGTCTGAATTCTGTGACCCGCATTGTACCGGAATTCATCATGGTCTTTGTTTGAAACGAACGGATTCTGCGTTCTACCACGGGTGTTCTTGCCATGTTCCATATTAGATCCTCATGTTGACTACCATACGACGCGCTCAGTCACCTGTAGGCTCTTGCTCAGTATGAAGAAAGGTATCAGGTTGAGGTTGTGATCTACGATTATGGATATCCTTATACAAACCCAAGATAATATTGTTCACAGTAAGGGTAAGAATACTATGAATGACAGTCAGAAGGGCGCGAATCTTGCAAGTCGAGAACAACTCACGTATGAGGCGCAACACGAAGAAACTGTGTAGTTTAACCTAGATGGATATTTTTAATAAGACTTGTCGCTCTATGCATGCCGCTACATACCCTTGTACCACCTGGACCTCTCAGGGACAGTCGATGGGATTCCTATACAATGTCCCTGCTAAACGACCATCAGGTGTGCACGTTGGTTTGTTGTATACTCGGGTTAGAGCCTGGATGTGAATATGGATGAGGTAAAACCCACTTCAAGCAAAGAGCCAACTGACCGTGTCAGCAGGCTGCACGATGCATGACAATGCACTACGAGGTGTTAGAATCCTACGGTTGTTGGTTACTTGGTACGAGCAAAAAAACACCATGCAAATTCCAGACACGGACGAACTAGCAAGTTAAGTCAACATGCTGTCTGAAGTGATCCATGCAAGCCAACTTGATTTTGTATGTGGGAAGCTGAACCGAAGATGCCATAGCTGTTTGCAGAATGGCTGCATCCACATCACGTAATAGACCCCAAAACTTATCTGTCCTGAAAACAGTAGCCAATGCGTCAAACGAGCTCTTGTAGTAATGTTGTGTGCCAACTGGTAATATAGGGGAGTATGCCTGTCGACGCTGTCATTGATGTCATTGAAGAATGCAAGAGCATGTCGCACGTACCTGCATTCGTACTTTTATCAGGAAGAGTGGGTTCCCGGACGAAGCGGTTACGTGCGAATAAAAAAAATAGTATTCGTGTCAGACCCAATGTCTCTATACCTCCTATTGTGTCACTTGCGGCACCAGCTACAACAGAAGTCAATGATGTCTGGTCGGTGATAGATCTACATATCGAGCAGTTGATTGCTCGTCGGAAGGGCTCGTAGAACCCTGTAGTAATAACTCAAAGACGGTCTGGACAGCAGGGCTGAATAAGTCGCTTACCTAGACGTGATCCATCCAAAAGTGTCTGCCATAAGGTAATGTCGAGAGAGCATCACTGAAGCTTATGGTATCTGACCTGGTAAACGTGCTAGAAGGCTATCAGACAAAGCAAAAATGAGTATAGACATATTTACACACTGCGGGTCCGAGTCCTCGGATGCCCTCGTTTCTCCAAGTTTTTGCCAGAATATCCAAAGCATCCTTATAGACACACTTTTTTTCCACTTTTGACAAGCTCACCTGCCTGCGTGTCAATATATCATGTTTTATGGTTCACGCCATCACGGCGTGCCTTGGAGTTGCAAACGCCTCCTGTAGGATTGTTGACAGTGAGGGCTATGCATCCTGCCAGTCCGCCGCAAAGAAAACTTCCAAGCGTAGAGAAAGGGTAGAAGAAGCCATACACGAATGCCAACAGCCATAACGGCGCGCAAGTGCAACTGGTCACCAGCCTACCATCTGCGAGGAGTTCGGGTTGAAAGAATGGTGCCGGATATGGCAAGTGTTGCTCAAGTCCTCTGAGCGAATGGTCGGTGACCTCCGAGTCAACACGACTCTGACGAATAATGTGTTCTAGCTGATAGTGATGTACCAACTTCGCCGTGACATGCACTCATTCATTAGTGCCAGGTCTGCTTTGGCTGTTGCATTTCTCGCCGTTGTATTTCCTGTCATCGCACGTGCGTTCTCGTCTCCGATATACCTCATCCTCCTTTCTCCTGTGATCATACTTTTTGTGGCACTCTCGTGTTTTGTCGCGAACATTCTTGTTGGAGTTGCCTTGGACAAGCAACCAGTTCATAGGAACGCGCTCACACATGCAGCTAGACCACTTGCCTTCTCAACTCCCGCAGCATGGCAGGCGGTCCTCACTCGTTCTAACTGGTCGCAGAAAACTCCACAATCATTATCACCCTTGTACCCTGACCTACCTGTTGTGTCGTCTACCCTCAACGATATCATGATCTTCGTCGTACGCGACTTCGTGCTCACCTGGTACAAAGACATATCACCGTCCCCTTCCTTTCCTACGGCAGTTTCTTCGATACTTCATGACTCCCTTGAGCGGCTTCTGCAAACAACCGCAACCGTTGACCTTTCTGCTCTTTTAGTGAAGCGAATTTTGCCCAAAGTCACTGTGCATATTGAGCAATTTCGCCAATCGGAGGTCACACTTCGCGGTGCAGCCCTGGAGCGCCGTCTCACGCAATCCGAGGAGTTGGATATGTTGCTGGCAAGTAGATACGCAGGCAAGGGCAGCAAACTACATCCTGCAGTGGAGAATCTGTCCTCTACATTTACGAAACAGAATGAAGAAATACATCTCAGAACAATTGCGGAGCGAATGCTCTCACATGTTCTTCCGGAACAGGAGGCCCACAGTAAGGTTCTGAGAGTAGTTGTCCGAGAAATTTTAGTATGTGCGGTGCTGTATCCGATCATGGATATGGTGAGCGATCCTGATTTCTGGAATCGGATGATTGAGCAAGTGGTATGTTATGTCCTTAACTTAAGTGCGAGCGCCGTCATTGACCTCGAGATAGGCAGGCGCCGCAATACACCAGCAGTATGTGGCAAACGTACTCGAACTTTTTTTACACTTTTAACAATGTACATGCAGGAAACTCATATCTCAAGTGAGAAATGTTTTAGAAGCACAATCACCCCGCCGGCATAACCGCCTTCCTTCAACAATTTCAACTGGAGACACCATCACGGTTAGAACTGATATGCGACAGTTCGAGTCGTTCCTCCGCAGTATCAATCGTTGTTCGTCACTTCTGGATGCTCGCCGCCTGAAGAATGATATCATGGGAGAAATTCGGAGAACGAGGTTACTTCTTGGTTAGTTTATTCAAATAGTTTGCTACATCTTATGTTGACGTTCCAACCTCCCACAGCTAATCACGAGAAGGAGGATTGGATAAGTGGCGAGAAGACAGAAGACGTAGTAGCTTTCCTTGACAGGCTTTATACTGCCAAAAGGACTGTCGAACAACGAATAGTAATCTTGGGTGGCGAGGATTCGGTAAGCTGCTCTATGAGATTCATAACTTCTGCTTATGCATATAATCGTAGAAGTCAGCTGCCTCGCCTGAGTCTGGTTTGCGGACCCAAGTCGCTCTACGTGACATCTTGAGCAACCCAACATCACTCTCCTATTTCATGGAGTTTATGGATCGTCGGCACCGCTCGCTCCTGGTTCAGTTTTGGCTAACAGTAGAAAGCTTCAAGAACCCATTGGAGTCAATAGACTCAAGCTCATCTGGGGATGAAGACGAACCCTTACAAGGTCCTTCAAGCTCTTCAACGCTCAAAGAGGACATTTCAATGATTAAGGATCTTTACTTCTCCGTCACACCACCTCATCCTGCCTTATCATCCATCTCTAAGAAGCACATCGAAATCATGCGCTCTTACGCGCAAAGTGAGATCCCTCCGGGTTCTTTGGAGGACAAGAAAGTCCGTCGTAGCGTCATGTTGGCTCAGAGACAGGTTCAACAGGCGATGGAACAAGACTTCGAGGACCTTCAGAGATCCGAACTGTGGTTCCGAATAGTCGAGGATTTCAATCGGGCCAGTGCTAAATTACTGGAGCCCCCCGCAGGTCGTATCCCGGTGCGTTCGATGTCACCCCCGCCACTGTCAGCATCACGTCCTCTTGGCATTGGATCTGTCCACATTTTCCGCTCTGAATCTTCCCCTTCCTTGAGCTCTGTGGTTCAGCGCATAGAAAACCCACGGACGAGTCCACCCACTGCCTCACGGACCAACATTGATGTGCTCATGTCCCCGGTTTCAGATACATCATCAAATACGTCCAGAGCTCCTCTCTTCGATGATCCGGAAGATGCCCAAAGCGCAGATGAAGCAGAAAGAATGAGAGCCATCCAGGCCGCGCTGACGGACATCATTGCCACTGAGCAACTTCCTCACAGTTTCCTCCCTCGAAGCCAGGACAGAGGCAGGAATCCCCACCTCAGCGCGACTTCACTCGACAACAAAAAGGACATTTTCGGTGATGAAGAAGATATGATCGACGAAGATGACGACAGAGCTGAAGGTTCTGTGGATACGGAACAAGGAACATTTCAGCTAGCCGGCCCTGGAGACCTTCAGCTTTCGTACGAAATTGCACGCCTTGGTGACAAGATCATCAAATTGGAGGCCCACGATGCCATGCTTGACACACTTATTAAGAAAGCAGAGCTAACGGGCGACGCTCAGGAACTGCGTTTGCTTCAAAAATCAAAGTCGTCTATGACCCGCGAACTCCGAGAGTTGCGTTTCCAGAAGACCCAGTATGAACAGCAAGAATCCGCAAACCGTCTTATCTCCCATCGAACGAAGGTTTCTATCGTTAGTTCGACGGTGGGAGAAGAAGAGGGGAAGTCCGTAGTGCGATACCTCGTTGAGGTCCAGCAGCTTGCACCCGACGGAACATTTGCCTCTGGGTGGGTTGTTGCAAGGAGATACAACGAGTTCCTTAGGATGCATAACAAACTGCGTGATCGGTACGCGCTTGTCAAGGGTCTCGATTTCCCAGGCAAGAGGCTTGTTGCTTCGCTGTCTGGCAGTTTCGTAGACACAAGAAGACATGCCCTTGAGAAATATTTGCAGGTGAGGAGCTCGCCGAAGTCTACCTCCTTCGCGTACTTACAGTAGCAGAATCTGATTGCTATACCTGTCGTCTGCGAAAGCAATGACCTTCGCGCATTTCTATCCCGCGATTCACCATTCATTGCGTCCGAAGTCCAAGAGGATGTCCCCAAAGGAACCGCTGGCTTTTCAGGGAAAAACCTAGTTCGATCTGTTTATCGCTCAGTGGCAGAGAGCATTGACGATATGTTCTTTGGCCCGTCAATGTTGGATGTTATGATTCAAAGGCTTACCCGACAAGCCGCAGAATTTGCTGGCATAGTCGGATCGGCGGTTCACGATGAGGACCTCGTCGCTCAGGCACTGAAAGCGTTTGGGAAGTCCACGTCGGAGGATACAGTTCATGCACATGTCTAGTGACCTCCGTCCTTTGGAAGGAGAAACTAGCACATCGACGTTCTCTGCTCCTATATGCGACCTTGTGCTTGCCATCTTTGAACTCAACAAGAAGGACAACTGGCTCCGGCGGCAAGCAATTGTGATCATCCTCCAGCAAGTACTGGGTGGCACCATCGAACGGTGAGCCCAAATCTTGCATAGTCTCTTCGCTTCCCTGACACGATTAAAGGCAAATCCGCCAAAGCATCAAGTCGTTGTTTGAAGAAAGTCGCATTATGCCTATTTTGGCCTTTTTCAAAGATTCTCTTTGGCCAGGTGGTAAACTGAAACCGCCTGGTCAACCACGGTCAACCGAGGAAATAACACGTAGTCGCGACGAAGCAAACCGCAAGCTCTCCGCTTTAGTGCCAGGTTTGCTGGGTTTTTCTCCCCTCAAGATATGGAGTTAACACCGCGATCTACAGATCTTGCTGCAAACATGATAGGTCGGTCAAACGCTCGGCGAGGAGCAAGACGGATATTTGCTGTCCTGCAGAACAAGCGCTTGAACCAGCACATTGCCTACACCATCGTCGACGAGGTGCGTTTTCATTGAACTGCAGAGGACGTTGCTCACGAACCTGTTCAGATTGTCGCCGCAATATTTCCTGAGCCCTGACATCTGAGAGTTTACGTCAATAAATAGTTTTGTTTGATACTAGTTATTGTGGAAGGTAGACTACTTTGTTACCTGTTGTACCATCACTGTACCATCAGTTAACCTAACACCAAAAGGCTAGCCTATTAGTTCCATCTTGCTAGTGAGGGTAGCTTGGTCAGCCACTTGCATCTTCCTCGAGCTCCGTAGTTTTATATGGTTCTAGGGTTTGAGGCACCGGCGAATCTCCTTCGTCAGCTTCCTTCTTCCGTCGTTTTGATTGTCGATGAGATGACACTTTGGAAGCATTCGGGTCATCATATCTGGCAAGCAATCGGTAAGCATTCATTTGCGAGTTGACCTGTTATTACACTTACACTTTGATTGCGTGTAATAAGAAACCTCCCGATCCTGACGTGTTCATCGTCGGATGTGTGCGACCTGGTAAAACTTGATACCGTCGCAGCCATGATTCTGTAATCGATGGTGCAAGATAGTTTGGGTCAAGGCGCAATTTCGATTGTAGTTCTGTAAGAGGCTAATATCCAAATATCCAGCTGAATCTGTTCATTAAATGGAAACACAACATACCCGGCTAAATGGGCTCTGAACAACTATGGATCCTGATCCCGCTACATATATAATCAAGTTTTGTAGGATCTCCAACGGGTCGTAATCGCTTGCGATTAAAAGCCTGCCAAGCGTCGGAAGAGATATGACGTCATTTGATGGCACTCACGCATCATATTCACCAGCAAACAACTCCTCTCTTGCGTTTAAAAGAGTATCTGCCGCGTTCTTCCGTTTATCAAGGCGAATCCTATGTCGTTCTGATTTTCCCACTTCCGACGATGACTCTTGTGTTACAGCTGCCACTTGATGGGAAGTATGGCGTATCCGCAAAAAATCTAGTCAGGTTCACTAACCTGGTGTATAGTCTTCCTGGGCAGTTGCCCAATTTAATGACGAGTGTACTTTTGTAACGACGTCTTTGCGAAAATTCATCAGGGTCATGACAGGATATGCGGGTGGTGAATCGACATCGCAGATGGAAATCAGTCGTCCATCCCCTGCAAGAATTAGATCCTTGACTCATACAATGCCAACAGCTCTCGGCCACTTACCTCCCAGTCTCTCGAGGATTGCTGATACAAGAAGCCCAGACGCCTCGTCAACAGCAATGTACCTGCCGCCGGGGCGAACATTCGCCAGATTCAATATTTGAGACAGTGTATCTGGTCTGATATCACGAATCCTGTTCTGGTCTTTTTTGAACCAGTGGTCACAAACATTGTAAATTGTCGGTTCAACCGTACTGAAGGTCTTGGAGTACCTGCTCGGTACATCAATTGAACTGTCAACAAATCAGGAATTACATACTTGGCTTCCTTGCGTTGCTTATATTTCTCCTTGCTATATTCAGTTTTCATGGAATAATTGGCATGTTGTTCGATTTGAGCCTTTATGATGTCCTGAGGAAATAGATTATACTTCGATTGTGCATGAAATAAGGCCCAGGACGCACAGAAGCATGCACGCCAGACTTTTTCAACCCTTCAATCTCGCTGAGGGTAAGTGGCTGCACGAATTCACCATCATTGATGAGCTCGTTTGTAGCATCCGTTTCCTCTTCATTACCACTAGTCATACATGGAAATTTTGGGCGTGTTTGTCAAATCCCTCACCTACTTCTTGTAGAGTATGGGGCGGCTGGACGCTGAGTTCTTTGCCACGAATCTCATACGTCAATCCGTATGGATGGTCGATCAGCTCATTTGCGCGAAAGGAGCCGACTCTGCCTATAGAGATAGTACTTCTCGACTCACTTCAGTAATGACAGGAAACAAGACAAAAAACCACTCACGCATCCTTTTCCACTTTGAAGCCTTTGGTCTCGCCATTAGGTAGTCTGAGCAGAACCGTATGCCCTGACTGTATGGTGGTCGCCTTGAATGAATTCAGGGCGCTTGTTGCATCTTCGCAGTCAGGGATATCCATGGGACTTCGCCGTCCCAACGGTCCACCGACAAATCTGGATGGAGTGGTGTTACGAAAGAAATGATCCGTTGTGACACCCTGTTCGGCAACTTACTACCGTGACCGTCCTCCGCCAAGTTCCAACACCTCATTTTGCTCAAAGTTTACACTACTTCATCACTTACTGCGATGAACGCCCAGAATGGAGACCTCAGCTTAGATTTCTTAATGAGAAAATCTCAGGATGTTGCTGCCTTTCTTCCTGATGAGCTATCTTACCTCGTAGAAGCTTTCGCTCCTTCTCAGCCGGAACCATCGCGCTCGAAAGCGTATCTCGTGCTCTCTGCATTCTGTCAAAGAACGCATTCACAAAATCCTCAGGAGTCTGGATCCAACAAGTCTGCCACGGAAATACTAGAGAAAGTTTTCCAGGATCTTATCATCTCCCGTATTTCCAATCATCAAGAGCAGGATGCTATAGTCATTGGACTATCTTTCTTCTCCGCGTTATTCCACGTCGACTGGCAGTCCGCTTCTCGTGTTTTCGCGCAAGACGGCGTGGTGGAATACGTGACAGATGCCCTTGATTTATTTCCATCATCAGCTTCAGTTGCCTTAGAGGTCGCTCGTATGATTGGCCAGGCTAGTGGACACAAAGCATGCCGGGCTCTGATACCCGAGGAAATTCTGACCTGGCTTGGGAACAAGTCACGTCAGGCTATCGACAAAAACTTGCGCGCAGCAGCAGCTATTGCCCTCGTAAAATTATCTCGAGGTGCGGCAACAGATGCCTCAGAAGGCGCAGATACGTCTCAGCTAGCGCCATCTACCTCCAAGGATATGGAGCTAGCCAATTTGCTAAAAGGAATGGTCATCAGTGATAAGGATTCTCTACCCTCCCTTAACGACGTTGTTGAAGGCCTTGCATACCTCAGTGTTGACCCAAACGTCAAACATACCCTAGCGAATGATCCCAAGTTCTTGCAGCAACTCTTTACACTTGTTCCTAGACGTAAATCACTTCCAACATCTACCAGTAATTCTAGCCTCCTCTTTGGCATTCTTCTTATCATATCCAACCTCTGTGCCTACCGTCCTCGCCTCAGTCAGGAAGACGCGCAAGTCGCTAAGCTGAAACGCATGGCTAAGGCTGGCAATGGATCTAATAGGACGACGTCCGAGGAACCGCTAAATGCATTGGAAGATGATGCTACAGTTAGGTCCAGATGTCGTCAAGCTCTTGCAAGTGGCGCCCTTGGTGTCTTGTCTGTAGCTTCTGGTGTAGAGAGCCAAGGCATCAGACTTGCTCTGGGTAAAATCTACCTAAGCATCGTGGAGGACAAAGATAACAGAGGCAAGGTCCTCCAGAGCGGAGGTGTACGAAGTCTTTCTCGTGTTATACAGTCGTCGTACTCCACATCGTCATCCACATCAATTGATACCTCCCTTCTCCCTGCAATCCAAGCTTTGGCGAAATTGACCATCACGTCTTCCCCCCTTCAAGTCTTCGGGCCCACTGATGGCGCTATGCTTGATGCAATACGGCCCTTGTCACACCTGCTGCTGCATTCATCCTCGAACCTCCTGCAACAATTCGAAGCCTTAATGGCCTTAACAAATCTTGCTTCACAGAGCACGGGGTGTGCCGATCGCATCTTTAGCACTCCTCACCTTCTCAACAAAGTCGAGCCCTCATGTTGGAAGACCATACACTCATCCGCCGGGCAGCCACCGAGCTGATATGTAATCTTATTGGGGGTTCGGAGAAGGCCTTTTTTAGGTATGGCGGTTCTCCAGATGTTCATGCAACGAAGTCCAAGTTACAAGTACTTCTTGCGATGTCGGACATGGATGACCTTCCAACGAGACTCGCTGCGTCGGGTGCTTTGGCAACAGTGACCAGCGCGTCTACTGCTTGCCAGGCAGTATTTGAACTTCAGTTGGATCGTCACCGAGCATTTTCAGTTATTGCACGTCTTATTGACCCATCTATCACTCTGGAGGATGACAACCCCGATGACGAGGAAGCAGCCGGAAATCCGGGGCTTGTACATCGTGGAGTCGTATGCCTTCGCCACATTTTCGATCCTCAGCACTCCCTCCCTCGTATACCGCTCGCAGAGGAAGTAGAGAAGGCTGGTTTGGTGAATGTCGTGGCCAGATTGCTGAAAGGTGAATTTGGATCACTTGACACTGCCGTAACTACTCCTGCTGCTGAGGTTTTGAGGCATCTGATTGAGCTGAGAAACCCTAGTATACTGTCTAATAAACCGAGCTGAGACTGGTTGCCATTGCTTTTTGTACAGGAACTTTATAATAGGTGTGAAATGATATGTAGCAATGAGGTATTGAATATATAGTTTATTGAGGCAGAATTGTGTAAGTTTTTGCGAAGTGTCCAGACCAGTACTTGGTTGTCCGGAATTAACTTGGTAGAGTACAAATCCCGACTTATCCTTTACGACGAAGGAGTTAATGTTTACCACCGGGTCATAGTACTGCCACGGGCATTGCCGTTCTCCGCTGTGCCTGCGGACTTCTCCCAGCAACTTTACTACGTTCTCTCATTCAAGCTAAGGCGCGTCGGCCATGGTGAGATTTAAGTTGCTTTGAAATGCTGTATGATTGATCGGCATGTGCATGTAGGCTATATCTAAGAAGGCGGGCAAGAAGGCTGCCCCGAAGTCAGGTGGGGCAAATAAAGTAGCCAAGGTGCGCTCTCAGACATCGTTACACCTACAGGACAGCCATGATATCGGTACAAACAGGCAGATTGGAAAGAAGGATTCAAAAAGAAACAAGCTGGAGTATCCGATATGACGCTTCTGACAACTATCAATGACAATAGCATTAATGACAACCTTGAGAAGCGTTGGACTGTCGGAGAGATCTACACTTACATCGGCGGCGTATTGATATCCGTAAACCCTTTTAAAGGTGAGGCCTTATATGTTCAAAATCTGGTTTCTAACGTGAGGGTGAATGCCTCTCAGATCTAGGAATCTATACGGATGAAACCCTCCAGAAGTACAAGGGCAAGAATCGACTCGAAGTTCCTCCACATGTATTCAGCATCGCAGAATCTGCATACTATAACATGAATGCATACCACGAAAACCAATGTGTTATTATATCCGGCGAGTCTGGTGCTGGAAAGACCGAGGCCGCCAAACGCATCATGCAATACATCGCGGCTGTGTCAGGAGGGGATGATGGCAGTATACAGGAGATCAAAGAAATGGTACTGGCCACCAATCCTCTATTGGAGAGCTTTGGTTGTGCAAAGACCCTTCGCAACAATAATTCAAGTCGACATGTGCGTGAATGACTGTTTTACATATGTACCTTGATCTTGATTTCATGGCCTCACAGGGAAAATATCTGGAGATCATGTTTAATACCCATGGCGAGCCGATCGGGGCTCAGATAACAAATTATCTACTTGAGAAAGGCCGAGTAGTGGGACAGTTAGAGAACGAGCGCAATTTCCACATCTTCTATCAGTTCACAAAGGCTGCTTCAGACGAGCAGCGAGGTGCGTCTTGTCTGTTCATCCATGCTGAGTTTTCATGAATATTTGTAGAACAATTCGGGTTGCAGGGCCCAGATGCATATGTATATACCAGCAGGAGCCAATGCTTGGAGGTTCAGGACATCAACGATTCAAACGACTATGCGGACACACTGGTGAGTACTTCACATATTGTCCTGCATCATCACTTAAACATGGTCAGAATGCCATGAGGATCATTGGTCTCAGTAATGAGGAGCAGACCGAAATTTTTCGGATGCTTGCAGTCATTCTATGGCTGGGGAACTGTCGACTTCCAGGAGATGGATGATGGAAATTCGACCATCTCTGACACTGAAGTAACATGATTTTATTGCGCATCTCATAGAAGTAGACTCGGCGATGGTCCAGAAGGTTCTGACGTCGAGAGTTGTTGAAACTCAGCGAGGGGGACGACGAGGTTCTGTTTACGATGTTCCCCTGAATCCCGCGCAAGCAACCGCTGGAAGGGACGCACTCGCAAAGGCGATTTACAACAATCTCTTCGAGTGGATTGTTTCGAGAATCAATGTGTCGATGAAAGCTCGAAGTGCCTCGGCACAAGTCATTGGTATCCTGGTAGGTGACGCTTTCGTTATTGGTTTGACCAACAATTCAAGCGTTGACAGGATATCTTTGGTTTTGAAATTTTCGAGGTATAATCAAATTATACGCCTCAAACCGCCTCATTCACGGAGCTCTGCAGGATAACTCTTTCGAGCAATTATGCATCAACTATGTCAACGAGAAACTTCAGCAGATTTTTATCGAATTGACACTTAAGACCGAACAGGAAGAGTACGTCAGGGAGCAGATCAAGTGGAATCCCATCAAATACTTCAACAACAAGATTGTCTGCGATCTCATTGAAGAGCGCAAACCCCCTGGAATATTTGCTGCTTTAAACGACGCTTGCGCAACAGCGCACGCCGATCCAGCCGCGGCAGATAACAGTTTCGTCCAGCGGACGGCCATGTTGTCTTCCAATGTCCACTTCGAGGCCCGGGGATCTCAGTTTCTGGTTCGCCACTATGCTGGAGATGTCATGTACAACATCGCGGGCATGACAGACAAGAACAAAGATGCACTTGTGAAGGATCTTTTTGATTTGGTTGGTAGTAGCAACAACCAGTTCCTTCAGATATTGTTCTCCGACAGACCCGATCCCTCAAGCAAGAAAAGACCGCCCACTGCTGGTGACAGGATCAAGGTATCTCGCATTGCTCTTTTATTGGTCAGAATAGATCATTCATATCCTAAAAGGCGTCGGCAGGTGCTCTCGTGGATAATTTGATGAAAGCTCAGCCTTCTTATATCCGAACAATCAAACCGAACCAGAACCGTAGCCCGAGTGAATATAATACCAAGGCCATCCTGCATCAAATCAAATACCTTGGATTACAAGAAAATATTCGTGTACGTCGCGCAGGATTTGCGTATAGGAACACCTTCGAAAAAATGGTGGAACGCTTCTACCTTTTGTCACCTTCAACGTCGTACGCTGGTGAATATACATGGCAGGGAGATGCGAAATCTGGTTGCGAGCAAATTCTCAAGGACACAGGGATAGCCAAGGACGAATGGCAGATGGGGGTTACAAAGGCCTTTATCAAGAATCCAGAAACAGTGAGTACGCCGTGCAACAGCACCAAAAAAATGGAATTGACGTCGTTAATACAGCTGTTTGCGTTAGAGACTATGCGTGACCGCTATTGGCATAATATGGCGGCACGTATTCAGCGAGCCTGGAGAAATTACTGGCGCTATAAGAATGAGTGCGCTAGGCGCATTCAGAGGTTTTGGAAGAACAACAAAGAAGCCCTCGAATATGCCAAAGTCCGCGACTACGGTCATCAGGTATTGGCAGGAAGAAAAGAACGCAGACGTTACAGTCTCCTCAGCTATCGCCGTTTTCTGGGCGACTATCTTGATGTCAATGGCAAGAACATCGTTGGATCTGACCTGCGCTCTGCCTGTGGTCTTGGTAGTGAGCCTTGTAGTTATTTTATGTCGTTTCATCGTCTCACATGTCACACAGCGGAGCAGGCTACATTCAGCTCGAAAGTGCAAATATTGGTGTCCAAATTTGGTCGGTCCAGCAAACTTAGCCCACGTTTCCTTGTAGTGGTATGTATCAATGTACCTCATTGCCTTGCTTCGTCTAACATGCGTCATGGTAGACTGCAAAAGCTGTGTACATCGCGGCCACTTCTCAGAAGGATGGTCAGATACAAACCTCACTTGAACGCAAAATTCCCTTGGTAACAATCAGAAGTATATCGATGTCTAATTTAAGGGATGATTGGCTGGTTGGTCCTCCTATCCATCCTTGGCGCATCGCTAACTCCATATCAGGCATTGAATTGCAATGCCTCTGAAGAGGGTGATCCAATTCTTCATTGCTATTTCAAGACGGAGTTGACCGCAAATCTTCTTACACTCACGCAAGCTAGTATCAACGTCTTGATTGGCCCGTCGTGCGTGTTTGCTTGATTTCGCTTTACCTTTGTCTCACCTGCTCGGAAGGATCGAATATGCGAAAAAGAAGGACAAGAAGGCACAGATCCAATTTGTCAGGGACGAGACGATTACAAAAGATGATGTATACAAGAGCCACGCTGTGCACGTCCCGTCTGGTGAACCTCCGTCGAGCACCTCTCGACCTGCTGCAAGAAGAAAACCTGGTATTGTTAGACCCATCACCCAAGGAAAGCTCCTTCGCGCTGGCGGCCCCTCGGATGTGAGTTTTGTGTCGGATTGTGATTTCTGTCTTCTCACGATCCACTCCAGAAAGGGAAGACATCCAGGCCGAAGCCAGCCACTCAACCACTGCCAGGGAAATCTGCACAATTTGCTGCCATCAGGCCAACACCGGTGGCGCCTCCTAAATCAGCCCCTTCGCCTCCTACTCGTAATCCAGTTCCGCCGCCGCCGCCCAATGAGCCCGAGGTTGAATTATACAAGGCAAAGTTCGCTTTTGAGGGTCAAGAAGGCGAGATATCTTTGAAGAAGGATGATACCGTGGAACTGGTTGAGAAGGATGACAATGGGTGGTGGCTTGTAAGGAAAGATGGGCAAGAGGGTTGGGCCCCAAACAATTACCTAGAACTTGTGCCACCAAGACCTAAAGGGGCACCTGCCGCACGCTCCCCTCCACCTCGACCACCGCCACCACCTTCAGTTCCGCTAGCAGTCGTTGCCGCTCCTATCCCCACTCCAGCTTCAAAACCAACTGTTTCCGCCATGTCTGTGAAGTCAGCAGATGCGTCAGCTAAGCCCGTGGCTGTCTTCCCTGGCCTTGCGCCATCGAATGGCTCCGCAGCGCCTTGGAAGAAGCCTGCAGCTGTATCAGCTAATGGGTCATCAAGCAGTACACCTGCAAGCTCTCGCCCTTCGAGTTCATTAGGAGTAAAACCTCCTCCAGTGGCTACTAAACCTAAACCTGTGCCACCACCTGTCGCATCGAAACCAAGCGGTGGCAAGCCACCTCCTAAGCCACCTATACCCACGGCCCCACGAGCAGGTGCCGGCGCTGCGCCACCGAAGATTTCTAAACCTAGTGCACCTGCTGGTCAGATGGACTTGGCTGCTGCGGTAAGTAACATTAGCTGCCTTGAGGATGATACATCTAATACATATAACCATCCAGCTCGCGAAACGTGCACAGAAGATAGCTGATGAGTGATCTAATTAATTATTTGACTTCGTACAATACAATTTCAAAGACTTTTTACTGTGTAGAAACGTGGAATTAGAAACGTGGAATTCGGTTTCAGTAAACATATTGGATAATGCGATAGGGACGCGAAATGTTAGTGAAATGCTTGTGGGGTATCAAAATATGATTTCCGAGGTCTACATAATGAAGCATTGCAGGACGTAGAGCGTGATAAACGTGACGCCATAAACTTATGAAGGAGCAATCCTGATTGGAGGCAAATGCCTGGGTGGTGGCGTATCTGATTCCAAGGTTAGCCGTTCGACTTCGTCCTCCGAGAAGTCATCATCATCACTGTCAGGCACAGCAACGTGTGAGGGAGAGAGGTGGGTTGTAGCCTGGATCTCCCTACCGTCCCCTCTGCTGTGGCCATCAAGGACGGCGTCAGATTCCTGCCCTGAATCTCTCCATGAGCGGACTTCATCGGCATTCAGGACCTTTGCGAAGAGGCCCTGCCGAAAATCGTCGGGAGTCTTTTCCAACGCTTTCCTGCCTGATTCCAAAAGGCCCTCTAGCATATCCTTCACCCTTGCATAAGCCTCGTCGGGCCCATCCTCATCCTCATCCTCCTCACTATCATTATCCTCCCCTTCTTCTTGTGCTTGCTCTTCGCGAGCAAGGGACTCAACGGCCCTGAATGCTCTAGGGGGAAGAATAAGTCGCGATTCACGAAGTTTCCGCTTGAGGTCTCGAATTTCTTTAGCTTGACGGTTCTTCGTAGTTTCAAGTGATGTGTTGATAAGAAGCAGGGATTTATTCGTTATTTCCAAGTCGGCAATCTGAAGTACAAGTCAGATCAGTACCGATGATATTAGTGAGTGGGTATGACCTTTCGATTAGACTTGGCTGCGGCCCTCGCCTTGTGTTCCGAGTTTTCGGAGTCAAGGTCGCTATCCCGATCTTGGCTAGATTGTCGACCATTGATTGTAGGCGAAATGGTGTCGTCATGATCGCTTTGAATAGAACGATTGGCTCGAGCAGATTCAGTATCCGAACGCTTGTTCGTGTGAGAGTTAAGCGTTGGCGCGCTTGCATGAGAAGGATCCAGAGACAAGGAGCTTCTAGACACAGATGACTTTGAAGATAATGATAATGCGGATATTGATGGTGAATGTGGAGGAAGAGGAATAGAGGCAGGCTCGACCTTAGCTTTCAGGACCTGCCTGGCTGCTTTCAAAGGTCCTTCAGGTGGAGTGAATGTTTGATATGGATAGAGTGTAGGTGAGGGGTCGCGCCGCGGCGAGGGGTATCTATGGGGATTAGCAGCAGGAGCTGCGGTTGTTATGGGATAGAAAGTCGGTACTGTAGTCGAATCAGGAGGACTTGGAGGCGCGTTTAATGAGAAGCTTGAGGAAAGTGAAGGTATGGGTGGTCTTGAATGAATGGGCCTAGTGGTAACCCATGGTGGGGATAACGAGCGAGCGGGATCTGTCTCGATACTATTAGATTTGGCTAACCCAGAAACCTTGGATTTAATCTTGATTGGAGCCGATGGCGATACACTGGCACGGTCTTGGTCGACGCGTACGAGTGGAAGTTCGGAAGGGAGCGGAGTTCGGGGTGATGGTGAATTCCTCTGTAATGCCGAAGTAGATTGAGCATGATGTAGGGCAACACTACCGCTACGTGGTCGATCTTCCTGGGGCGGAATTTGTAGCTTTGACACAATAGTAGTGGATGATCGCTGACGCGACTCTAGAGGAGATGTACTGGACACAGGAGATGTGGTGGTAGACTTGGATGCGGGCCGCGCCGTAACGCGAGCTTTGACAGGATTCGTGACTATGGAAGGACTGGAACTTTGGGCTGATTTCGAAGGCGACCCAGGTCGAGAGTGTGTTACTTTGTTGATGTTATTCAATGAAGCCGAACTTGACAGTCTCCGGGCACTGGTCGCATTGGAGCTGACCTTGGCTGTCGGACGGAAGCCTGGCGGCGAGAGAGATGATTGCAACGGTTTCTTTGTCGGTGATGCTGGTCTAGATGGTGAATTAAAACGGAGAGGTGCATGACCGCCATTGTAGTCGAGTTTCGCGGTAACCTGTTCACCAGCGCATGTAAGTTTCATGGACTGTCGCGGCATATGAGCGTAATGCTCACTTTTCTCTTCAACGGTGGCTCCTTCATGAGACACGCGATGTAAAGAAACCTAGTAGGTCGTTAGATATTACCGCACGTGCTGGAGCTTTGCAGATGATAGTTACAGTACTTGAAAGAATGAACCACTAATTAGTAGCACTTGGCCTACTGTGTCCACAAAATAGCCACTCATTAATATTGACTGTCGGATGTATTTGCTATAGCCGAGCGTCAAAAGGCCACACTGATTTTATTGCAAGTCACATACACAGTGGCCTCGTTTAACTACTGAATACCACCACTGTCATTAGAGACTGGAGCAGAAGGTAGGATACCTTTGTTGACGAGCGTTTCCTCCACAATTCTCTGGACAAAGGTCCGCATGGCTTCTCCACCACCACCCTCCAGAGCGGCCAATACGCTCTTTTCTACGTACTTGCCCACCATGTCAACCTCGATGTTTACTCTCTCGCCATTGGCCTTTTTTGCCAAGGTGATCTTCTGCTGCGTGTGTTGGATAAGCATAACACCGAACATCCTTTCGGCATCATCGACAGAAGTAACGGTTAGGGAAGCACCGTCTATAGTGACATAACCCTTGGGGATGATGTAAGGAAGAAGAGAAGGTCTTTCTGCGGTTGGTTCAGGAAGTTGGAACCAAAGACGCAACGAATCACCATCGAGAGCTCTCTTGAGAATGGTCGCGGTTATATCAACATGAGCCTGATATGAGAAATGATTCATCAATGATGATTTGTACGCCATCAGAAAGAGCGCACCTGCACGAAGTGACCACCAAATCGAACATGAGCACCCATGGCGCGCTCAAGGTTCACCTGATCACCAACCTTGCGGTCGCCTTGATTACCTATGAGCGTCTGCATTAGTCTGCCTCTGGTCACTCACCCAGATCAGTTCTGCTGAGGGTTTCGTTGGCTAGCCATATTTTAAAATATCCTCCATCACGCTCGACATCGAATTCGACGACTGTCAAACAGGCCCCATTGACGGCTATGGAGTCACCAATATGACAGTCCACTAAGATAGGTGCTGACTGTGATATGGTTAAAGCACAACCACCATCATCCTGGTGGATGGCAGACACTGTTCCAAGGTGTTCGATCTGAAGCAGTCAAGTTACAGGGAACAAGTAGCATAGAACTGTAGTACTTGCCAGGCCAGTAAACATGTCCGAGTTATAACGTTAGTCTCGCAGTCAGACTTGGCCTTGAAGAAGACTGACGGTTACCAAACTCGTCCAATTCTCTCGTGTTCAGAAATTTGCAGAGGAGACATTTTTTCGCTGTTGTCTAATATCACTGTCTCTCGAGACGATCCTACGGGATGACCTCCAAGAGATTACCGCCATCTGCGGAACCAGTGGTTGCTAGATCATTGTGGCAATCATACAAAGGTGTGTAAACTAATTTCTTAGTTCTAGGTCTGCTCAGACAACTCTCTCAAGCTCTTCCAGCTCGAACACGATTATACGTCTCCATGGCTGTATGCTCGGTGGGCGCAGTAGGAATTTATGTGTCCGACTACTTGGAAAAGAAGTATCCAGTAGCGCCGCCAAGGACCACGCCGCCGCCGTCCCGGGACGCGGCGGGTACAGCATGAGTATTATACAAAACGATTGGGTGGATAGTGAATGTGATAGTCGCCGATTGTATCGTGAGTTGGACATGCCTTGCTTGTTGAGAAAATGGGGTAGTATTAGGGAGGGTGTGGCATGAAGGAGCTACAGGCAAATTCCACGCTCTCAGTACGTGTCTCCGTGGCGACCGCTGCGTGCGGAAAGTTGACGGTGAAGAGCGCACTTATGGAGATTGTCGGCATCCCAAGGAAGCTCTCGAGTGTCTGATGGAGAGACGACTCTGAGTAACAGAGGTGGCACCGCGACTGGCAGGGTAGGGATAGTGTGGTCCGCGGAGTTTCTCATCGTATGGATATCTTCCTCCTTCACATGATCTGTTCCCGTATCAAACGGAAAAGACATAAACGATGTTCGCTGTCTATAATCACGCTCTTCTGGTCCTAGTTTTACTTCCCAGGTCTGCTTCTCCCAGTCAGGGACGAACTGTTCGATGCCACTGTTCCTTCGACCCTTGCAGCACAAGAACTCTCGCGCAACCTTCCACCAGCGATCGAAGAACATGCTGGATGAAATCGCTATTGCTATGATCAAAATTGCGATGAAGATGATCCCAATGATTTTCCAGGTCTTCTTGTCAGCGGACGCGTTTTCGGTCATAGCGGCCGATGAGGTATTTGGGTAACTTGCTGACTTTGTGGTGGATGTAGGTGTTATTTGTTCCGGAGAAGGCTTTAGAGAGCCTGTGGACGACGTAACACCGAGGCTTGTGGGAGTCGCTGGATCAACCTTTCCCACTGAGGATGGCGTGGGGAGTACCGGATCTGTGAACAAGCCACCGAGATCTTTCAAACCAGGATGGATAGGAGACGAAGGTGAGCTAAGAGGGAACGTGTCTGATGTTGCAGGCGAGTCTGTGCCACTGCCCGCAGTGCCCGCGAGCATACCGAGTAAGTCCCTTGCGAAATGCACGCTTAAGCCATAATCCGCAGTTGGGATCTCTGGCAGTGCAATCGCGATTGCTCCGGGAAGTAAAAGAGCGTGGTGGTACCTCATTGAAATGATTGACTGCTAGACACGGACATGTATGAGCCTTTTACTGGACAGTTGAACGTTCGGAAATTTATGTAAACGTGTGTTCGCGACGTCGATCACGTGGCCAAGAAATCAGTTAAAGTACCTCATGCGAGCGACACACGGCCTCTCGTGAGAAATGACGTAATTGCTCACCTTCTAAATTTAAAGCTTGAATTCCTTACACGATCGGCAACTTCTTCTGAATCCGCGACTTTTAAGGCGTTTGGCCTTTGCTTCGTGGCTAATCTGAATTATGCACTTGGCTCAGGTAGACTTTTATAATCCTACGTGGACTGTGTTGACCGCTCTACAGGAACCGTGGTTCAGCGGCCAACTCCATAATGTTCCGTTTGGAACGTGGTGTCCCGCTGCTATCATTATCCTAGCGATCGTTACCGACTTCCTAGCGCGCAGGCAGCTTCCAAAAATCATCCAAGTCGTTTGGAGTGCGCTGAGCGCACCTTTTCGTAACTTTATCACTCTAGACGATGTTGGGAGTCCCTTCAACGATGACTTTCCCAAACAGGTTTGGATAAATCGAGTGCTTGTCTCTGTCGCGCTCGTTTGCTCGTTTGGCTGGCTTGCATATTTTGGGTATGCCATCGCCCTACGGGAACCTTGGACCAACGCCTTAGTGGCGTCAATTGCATGGGTGGGATTATTCAATATTTGATTACACGCTAAACTCACGTTTTGATTTGTTATGGCAGTTTTATACGACCCTAAGGCTCCTGTTGAGAGCACCGTCCACACCTCCGTATTTGCTTATTCTACTTGGAGTTTCGCAAATTGCTGCTGCATGCGTCTACTACTCTTCATTGCCGAATTATGCTGTCGGTCCTATGATCGCTTTTCTAATTCGAACGTCAATTCCAGCAACCTTCGTCTACGTGGCTGGCCTTTTGCCACTGCAGGCTGTGCGACCTGCGCTCAACGTCGCCAGCTCAACTGATGTCTGTTCGTTCAGCTATGTCCCAGACTCACGTACTGACCCTGGGGACTAGATTCCGTCATCCAATCTTTCTTCTCCCGAAGATGACGCAAACCTTTGGTCATGGTGTACCGTATCATTTGTAGAACCCATATTGGACTTGGCGTGGAAGCGAACATTGAATGATGCCGATGTCTGGTGCTTGTCGCCGTTCTTCCGACACAAGAACTTGTTCAACAAATACCTCGATTACCGTTCACGGTAGGCAGATACTATCTTCTACATAGGCCAGTCTCTTATACGCAGTTAGCTATCCGATGCACTCTCTACTACGCTTTTTGCTGGTATCTAACTCTCTCGACCTAATCTTGGACCTCGTATTGGAAATGTGGGGTGCCGTTGTCGGTGCGTGTATTATGCTGAGATATAGATTGATCCGCGTGGAGTAATTATTGATCGGCAGGGTTCGTGCCGGCTTACGCACTCCGGATGATTCTATCATCGTTGGATAATCCTACTCCCGACTCAGTAGCGAACGCCAAATACTGGGCTTTCCTTACATTTGTAGCCCATTTGTCTTTTGCGCAAGTCGATCTCTTCAAAAACTGGCATACTCGCCGATGCTACGAACGAACTCGTGGCCAGCTCTTCTGTGCTTTGCACTACAAAGCACTGCGCCGCAGGGATATTAGCGGAAAAACTTCTAGCGACGAAGAAGGAAGTGCTGACCTTGGAAAAATCGTGAATCTCATGCAGTATGTTTCCTCCAGGGCTATAGTCTCCTGTGATCGACTCACTTCACCTTGAAGAGGCGATGCGTATGCTGTCGCTCAGCGGTTTTGGGATTTTGCCGCAATCTTCTCGTCTCCTCTACGGCTCGTGATAGCACTGGTCTTCCTCTACAAGTGAGTCACAATTTCCCTGAGATATCAAGCTAAGCAATACCTTTAGGATATTGGGATGGAGCGCGATGTCGGGCGTCGCTGTGATTATTTTTGCCTATATCCTGAACTACCCGTTGGCGACATACAACATCAAGGTTTGGAGTCTCGGCTGTTTGATCTTCCTGGCTAATGTGGCACAGATTACCCGAGCATCATGGAAGGCCAAGGACAAAAGGATGAATGTTGTTAACGAACTACTCCAAAATATCAGATTTTTGAAGTTTTATGGTTGGGGTGGGTGAACGGAAGCTGATACATGGTTCTACTTGACTAGTGTTTCGTAGAAAATCAGTGGTCACGCACTGCTCATCAGGCACGAGAAGAGGAACTTAATTGGCGGGTTAAAGAGAATATCGTCGACACTATCATCTCATTTATATGGCAAGCTGTTCGTCGTCCAGACTTCGCACATACTCATGTCATTTTATAGGACGTGGATACCTTCAGCAACGGCCCTTGCGACATTCTCTTGGTACACTTTGGGCGAACAAGAGCAACTGACGGTATCCAAGGCGTTTACCGCAGTCGCTCTGTTCTCACAGTTACAAGAGCCGATGACCGCTCTTCCTGGACAGTTCTTTGCAATGCTTCACGGTTTGTCATGCGATATTACAACTGGGTATGCAATTCTTATCTGTTACAGCTTACGTATCGATGCAGCGTATTGAGGGGCTCCTTGCGGAGCAAGAGGTTCCTGAATGGGCTTCATCTCTGTCGGCAGTGGATACCGGATCTGAAGCGGATTGCTCGGACATCGGGTTTAAAACTGCAACCTTTGAATGGCATGGAGTTCGCAAAGGATCAATGACTGAAGCTCGGTTCCAACTTGGACCTCTGGATATCAAGTTTCCGAAAGGCCAGCTGAGCCTTATCAGCGGCGCAACTGGTGCTGGGAAAAGTGCTATGCTCACAGCGCTACTTGGCGGTCAGTGCATCTTTGGCGGTCACAGCTCGGCCCTTAGATGCATTCATTTTAGAAATGCATTGTTTGTCTGGTGATGTATCCATAAACAAGAGGAGGCACCAAGTGGCTTACTGCGCCCAAACTCCCTGCAAGTGATGTCATCATAGCGCAGCCTAGTTGCTCACTCAAATTGATATGCAGGGCTTGAACACGCAACCATAAGGGACAACATCATTTTCGGCTCCAAGCTCGGCTTCGATGAAGAACGATACCACGCAGTCGTCGAGGCGTGTGCTCTTGAACGTGATCTTGTTGTATTCGAAGCGGGTGACATGACTGGTAAGAATTCTCTTTTCTATCCATTATTGCCAAGGTATTACTTTGGACTCCAGAGATCGGCGAGAAAGGCATCACGCTATCTGGTGGACAGAGAGCTCGTATTGCCTTGGCACGCGCTATGTACTCGGAAGCTAATGTGAGTCTCCTGCCATTTCATTGCTCCATTATCTTAACCGACTTTGTCACTGGACAGTGCATCCTACTTGATGATCCGTAGGTATTTTCCGTCAAGGTAATTATTTTTTCTGAATGTTCCACAGACTTGCCGCCGTCGATATGCATACCGCACAACATATTGTGCAGCACTGTTTGTCCGGGGAACTGGCTCGTGATCGGACAATTATCTTGGTAACCCACCATATGAGTCTGTGTTTACCGATTGCATCTTACGTGGTTGAGCTATCTCACGGCAACATCGCCCGTGCTGGCGATAAAGAGGAATTCCAAGATATCGGAGAGCTTGATGTTCTTGATGAAGCTGACGATGAAGAAACAGAAGTCGCTACTTCGGGAACTCAAACCCCAGATGACAACATAGCTGAGGATGTTCTTTCCAAGCAACGACCGTCTCAAGTTGTTAGAAAACTAGTGGAAGCAGAAGTCCGGGCGGAAGGCCGGGTGCCTTTCAGAACGTATTGGGTTTACATCAAGGCAGCAGGTTTAATGTCCTGGGCACTGACTCTCGTCTTGATGCTCATGATCCGTATGATCAACATTGGGAATCAGGTACGGTTGCAGCTCTTGACCCTATACATATCACCAATTGTTTAAGGTTTTTTTGGCCAAATGGGGTGAATCCTACGACGTCTCCGCTTCGGTTTTCCTCCCAAGCGTCAAATATCCTTGGGATGACTTACCCCCTCCTGATGTCAACGTCAAACCATGGCTTTTGATTTACCTCTATATCTCTATCGCAGGGGCATTCTCAGTACTGGCTTACATCTCATTGGGCTATTACGCAAGTCTCCAGGCCTCCCGCTCTCTGTTCTTCAGACTACTCCAAAGGCTTACAAGAGCACCGGCCCGGTTCTTTGATACCACACCCATCGGGAGGATTCTCAACCGTTTCACGACAGACATTAATACTATTGACGGAGCTCTGCAGAGTTCCGCCCGCGCCGCATTATCGGGCGTCCTCAATTTCTTGGCTTCTTTCACTGTCATAATCGTGGTTATACCCGCGCTCGCGCCTTTCGCTTTGGTAATAGCATGGTTGTATATCCGCATCGCTCCTCGTTTTGTACAAGCTCAACGAGACCTGCGTCGGCTTGAGAGCGTCTCCTTGTCACCTGCATTTGCTGGTTTTGATGAGCTTCTACGTGGCTTATCACATGTTCGTGCATTTGCAATGGAGTCGAGATACCAAGATAGGTTCTATGAGAAAGTGGACAAATTTCAATCATTTGACCACGTATACGTAAGGAGATGCACTCCTCACCCTGTAATATCTTGCACTAACCTCTTTGCCAGTGGCTTGTCAACGGCTGGCTCCGTTGGAGATATGACTGTATGTGGCTTGTCTCTCTTCCATTGTGTTTGACTTAAACACCTTCCAGGTCTCGGCTCAGTCGTGGTGTATCTCACGACTCTTTTCGCCCTTTCGCAAGGTGTTTCCAATGGGTCTGCTGCGGTCGTTATCGTGCAAGCCGGTGTCTTTGCTGAGGCATCCCGTCAACTAGTACGGGTTCTTGCACAGCTTGAGCTTGACTTTAATGCAGTTGAACGTGTGGTCGAGTATCTTGGTGTACCACAGGAGGCACCTGCTATTATCGAGAAGAGCAGACCTCCAGCATACTGGCCATCAAGCAACGGTCAGTTGGTGGTCGAGAATCTTGTTGTCAGGTACAGCCCCGACCTACCGGACGTGCTCAAAAATATATCGTTTGTTGTCCAACCGTCTGAAAAAATTGGAGTGGTTTGTCACATTCTTGGAGCATCTAGCATTCCCAAGTGTTCATTATTATTGACAGGTCGGACGGACGGGCTCTGGAAAATCAAGCTTGGCTTTGTCCTTGCTGCGTATGATAGAGGCCAGTGCTGGAAGAATAATGTATGTTATTGTCGATGTCTTGCTCCTTGCTCCTGCGTCTAAACACTTCGGCAGCATTGACGGAATAGATATATCGACAATTGGCCTAGAAGATCTTCGGTCACGGATAGTGAGTCGATTGTTTGTCCCTTCATGAAATTGCTGATTTGTTCCCAGACCATTGTTAGTCAGGACGTTTCGTTGTTTTCCGGCACACTCAGAAGCAACTTGGACCCATTCGAGGAGCACACCGACCAGGAATGCTGGGATGTGCTCGAGCGATGTCATTTAACGAGGTTGCTCAGTCGGGCGATTGAAAAAGGTGGCTTCACACTTGAGATGCCTATCAGCCAAGGTGGCTCGCTCAGCGCAGGAGAGAGGCAGCTGGTCGCACTTGCCCGGGCAGTTCTACGAAAAACCAATATCATCATTTTGGATGAAGCGACGTCTCAAATAGATTCGCGTTTGGATGACCAGGTTAGTTGATGCGCTACTTCAGTCTTGCATCTCACTAGTGTACACCTATAGATCCAAACGACGATCCGTGAAGAACTTTCTGGTGCGCTTGTTATTACTATCGCGCATCGCCTCAAAACGATCATCGATTATGATCGCGTTTTAGTGCTAGATAGTGGGGAGATTATTGAGTTTGATAAACCAAATGTACTTTTGGCGAAGGTTGGAGGGGCCTTCCGAGAGATGTGTAGAAAGAGCGCAGACTGGTCACAGTTATCTGCTTCCATGGAACGTTGACTGTACACTGTACACTACCACTAGTATCATCATTGATTGCATACGGCTTTCTTCAGGGTACGGGACTTTTGTTTGGGACGATAGCACAGTTAATCTGAGCAAAAGATTCAGTAGGTTCGACGTTGATTCAAATCATAACTGAAACGCTCAGGAAAACCCGGTATTGATCTCGTGTCTCTCTCAAGAAGAGCATTCGTATAATAGGGAACCAGAATGTTCATCGTAACTCAAGAGAATGGTACTAGGCTCACCTCATGAATTCAAGTTAATCATTTTTCTCGTGAAGTGGGGTGAGAGAAGAAACTGTGGCGGACTTTGTAATACTTCAAACTGGTGTACTAAATTGAGCGGATTCCCGGGTCGCTGGCAGCTGCCAGGTGCATGCTGTGGCGTCATTACAACGCTGTGCCGAAACCTGCTTGCATTTCCACCACCATCCACTTGCCCAAGAGGCCTTTGCTACCATGTCTTCCAGAGAGCCAATGTGGTATTGTCACGAAGTTTGTTTCTTGAGAACAACCTGCACGTCCTATACTAACATAACATTGCAATAGTGTCATGCTGAGATGAGACCACTCATGGTTAGTAGATCCTCAGCTGACTTCCGATGTTAACGTATAACGATGTGATGTATTAGCAACCGGATCCAATTTGTGCATCATGTCAGGGCACGTTCGTTGAGAAGGTGCGCGACCCGATCTTCGTACTTTAAGTTGATGATAATGATGTATCATAATTTCGTGCAGATAGAGGATCCAAGCGATGATCCTCGGGCATATCAGCAGCACGCTCCGAGAGGAGGCTTCGATGACGAAATGCCCCAAAATATAGGTGGTTTGCTAGGTGCGCGCTCATTCACGCATGTAGTAAGGCCTTACATGGAAGGAAACACCCACAGCTGCCTTGACGGGAAGTCCCCGACCTCGCTCACCCACCTTCCCTCGTAGCCCCGAGGGGGGATCGGTCAGTCATCTTCTATATATGCCGCAAGAAAGCTCATAATACGATTAGGGTGGTATTCGTCTTGAGTTTCATAGCACTGGACCTAGTCACGGTGCTACAAGAACTTTGTTTCTTGGAGGTCCCAACACTCTCAATCGTCCGCGCTCTCCGGAGCAGCGCGATCGTGAAGTTCCTAACATGTCCGAGTACGTCCACTACGATCGTGTCGAAATCTTATACGCATGATTTGGTGTAGATTCCTGCGTCGTGAAAATCAAAGTGGTCCACGACATCCCGGAGATATCACTGGGCCAATGATGGCACAATATTTATTGGCTTTACTGGGACAAGGTAGAGGCGCAGACCCTTTGACTGAAATGTTCTCCCTTGGTCCTGAAGGAGGATCGGGTGGGCGATGGGGTGACTATGTTTTCAATCAAGAGGGTGTGTATTTCCCTGAAATATTTTACAAATCCTGACGAAAATTGGGTAGCATTGGACCAAGTGATAACACAGATAATGGAAAATTCTGCTTCGCGGCCTATTCCAGCAACAGAAGACATCGTCAACAATCTCCCGCGAGAAGTCCTTTTGGAACGATGTTTGTCATTGTCTGTCGTATCCTCCACTCGCTGCTCACTTTCATGTGTTGCTAGCTCCACTATTGGATAAAGATTGCGCCGTATGTAAAGAACAATTCCAACTTGGAACCGAAGACCCGGAAGAGCAGGTTATTATAACTCTTCCATGCAAACACCCATTTCACCAGCCTTGTATATTGCCATGGTTAAAATCTAGCGGAACATGCCCTGTTTGCCGGTGGGTTATTTTTTCATGTCCATCTTCATCATCGTCTTACGTCGAGTAAAAGGTATGCTCTTATAGAACAAGCACAACAGCCACGCCCACCAGGCAACTCCCCGGGACCAGGAAGTGGACCCAGTAACCGCCCAACAAATCCATCACCAGCTCCACCACGTCCACGATCGCCTGGGAACTCAGGTCGTAGTGGTGGAGGATTGTTCCAGTCATTGTTTGGGGGAAGTATGGGTAGCTCGAGAGCGGCTGGCAGTTCATCATCTCAGGGTAGGAATTCAAGTCCAAGAGGAGCACGTCGCGCAGGAATGTCCAACGAGTCCCCAGGCAGTACGCCATCTTTCCCTGGGCGCTGGGATGAAGAAACAGACTAATCGAGCGTTGACTTGGTTTCGACTTGGTTTCTTGGACCGTCCGCGGCATAACTTGCGGGCGGTCTATTCTAGATATGCATATCTTTTCTGATGCCGCTTGGACCTCACTTTCCTTCTTACAAATTGTAAACATCAAGAATGTCATATAAACTCGGAGTATTTGGATGTTCTTGCTCCATGGCAAGTAACGTCGGCAAGCCAAATGACCTACTGGGTGGAACTGTCGATCCGAAAGTTCTCCCTCCACTATGGACGTAAATTAGATGCAAGCTCCCTACCGTCAAACGGACAGTAGGTGACTTTCCGCAAGGTTTTACAGATGAATTTCTGTGAATCCTCAGGCGGCAGGCCTCATTTAGCCAAGGCTGCATTAGGAAGGTTGCCATTAACACCTGTCAACCAATTACTCCCGTACTTGTCTGTGGAAGGATCTCCGCAGATTTCTGTAAGTCATCGAAATGTCTGATTCAGGCAATTTTCTTGCTCTTCGTCCGGATCATTTGTATGATGCTGTAAATTCTCACGCTCTATGTCTTACGGTTACAGATTTTGTCCGTAAATTAGCCAACGTCAAGTATTCTACGTACCCTGAAGCGAGCTACGAGCGTAGGTCAAACCTGCTCCTAGTGCCTTCTGCTTTTCTTTTCCCCACCACTCCCTTGTCCTCGTTGTCTACATTGCTACTGGTCCCTAAAGACAGTCAGCTTCAACTATATACTAGTACGTACCATATCCCTCTTCCAGGGGCCCGGGTGGAGACCTGAGGCTAACCCTCGCAGCTCACCTCGGCTCTCTCTTGCACAGGTTAAGGCCGCTATCGGGGTTGCCCCCTCGGGGCTTCCATCTTATCCACCCCCAAACCATTTGCTTCAATAAAGCAAACATTTTCTTTTGTTCTCTCCAGTACTAAGACCACCAGCTGCACGACAGCAAACACAAAGTTTACGGTTGTATTTTTTCTGTAAATTCATGCAAACTCAAATACTTCATCCTAGAGGCCGCTACTTTCCTTCCTTCTTCTACCATCTCATCCTCTTTCGGCAACCCCACTTTGATACTGTAAACACGCCGGCTTACCTGAGTTCCCATAATCAGTACATATACTGTCGCTGATGCTGAAAGCTAAGCTTTCAGTATTTCACTTTTTGGTGTAACGATTATGCGGGCGGCAGTCTGACCATGTTACAGATGCATGCGCATCACGATATTTGCCCCTGTTTCACGCCCATTTGCTAACGTGATTCTCAGCGCGTAGGTTTTGTCTATCTTGCACTTGGTTTAATGCTGGCGTGACGACGACGTAAAATCGCTCTTGATACCATATAACCGCTCTATGAACATGGAGTTTTCGAAAACATTTAAGAAATCTCACCGTCACTCACAACTCTCCATGTGCACTCTGCTGCTCTCGATTGCATATACGACAGCCTGTCATTGTCCCTCACAATATGCAATAACTGTGGTCGTGCGGGTGGCAGAGGTGCCGAGGATGTTAACCTAACCGCTTGTTAGGACCTGTTATTGCATTACCACTAGGGGGGCATATAGCAGTACTTACCAGAAGCATGCTATCACATTCTAAACAGAAGAAATTTCACGCGTCCTAACCAGATGCGATACTATTGTCATAATCCAATCATACACAAAATTGACCGAAGAATAAGACCTTCATAGCCTACTTAAGTACCGTACAACCTTCAAATCCATATCTAAAAAAACGATACTTTGTGTACTTTGGCAATTCCATGTTAGTTAGTGGTGGCATCAGTGTACGAAGTTTTGGCAAAACCGACGCGGGAGTTGGTGGTATCGTACACAGAGTAGAAGCGCTCGAGGAATGTGTAGCCGTTAATAAAGTCAAACCCTGAGCCACTGGGCGTGCCAATGTCGGCAACGATGAGATATATAGCTTTGCTACTACCACCAATAGGGGCATTGAGAGAACGAGGCCAGATTTGGGCATTAGGGGTGAGACTGAAGGTGTTCTGTGCAAAGTGGTGAGTGAACAAGGGGTGTGAGGGCTGACAGAAATAGCGTACACTGCCAATATTGAAGTTCAAATTCTTGAGGGCACTGTACTGGGTAGAAGAAACGAGGAGAAGACCAGTTGCCCCATCCAGAGTAGCGCCGGTTTCAGACTTGTATTTGTTGTAGGCATCTATCGCACGCTGATTAGACCATGATTACTTGCTGTACTCTAGATACACACCGGTTGCAACGTAAAGAAGGGTGGTGCCAGTATCGACGATACCAGCAGTGGAGGACAAGATCGTCGTGGAGCCGTAGGTGATGCTCTCATTGATACCCCAATAGGCCGATGCAGGTTTTGTGGTGGTGATAGGACTGAAACAAGACAACCATCATCAGTCTGGATTGATCTGGGAGCTGAGGTAGCTTACGTGTATGCAATGTCGCCGGTGTACTTGAAAACGTCAGGTCCACCGAAGGTGAGCTCTCCATTTGTGTCCTGAGTCCGAAGTGGTGGGCTCGAAAAGGACACTAACAACCCCCTGAGAAATAGTGCCTTGGCTATGCAGGTTGTCAGTGACAGTCGGGATCGTCAATGCCGGCGAATTCGTCAAGGTACCCTCTGTCAAGCCTACAGGCCCGATGCCAAGGATACCGTCAACACCACTGAAGCCCACCGCAAAAGAAGAAACGCCGATCGACTGCTTGGTGATAGTGAGTCCACTACCGAGAGTGATGGTGTCGGTGTACTCAGTTCCTATAGATAATCGTAGGTATTTTCAATTTATGATATCGTTGTATGTCATACCAGAGAAGAAACCAGAACCGTAGCCGACATCCACAGGCTGACCAGTGTTGACGCTGGTGCTGGTTACCGCGTACGCAGTGTTGGCGCCAACCCATGTGTTCGAGCTGCCGGTGTCGACAATCAAATCGTCTTAAATAATACATCAGAAGCCGCATGTCTTCTCAGTGTTGAACTTACAGGCTGTAGGGGGGCTGCCAATGCCAACTTTTGCGATGTAGTATGAGGCAACGTTTGTCACAGGGGGGCTACCAAGATGGTAGCCGGCCTTAAGGGCAGCTACGCGAGCTTTATCGTACTGCAAGAGGTTAATAGAACCATCGGAGACGTTTAACCTCCTGGCAATGGGGAGGGTGATGGGGGAGTCGCGAATTTGAAAAGGTGATGCCGCGATGGACAAGGCCAGGAGAATAATTGTCAACAAGGATGCAGCAGGGAACATGGTTCGCTGGAAAGCAATATCATAGTCGGTAGCTCATTATATATGTGCTGGCGAACGCGAATGTTGTACACCTCCAAGTTAGCCACGTACAAAACTTTCTTCCTCGAGAAAGCGATGACGAGACAGTCGCATTCCGAGTCATCACGAGTGCAAGGATTCGACTTCTCGATAAAATGTGATGGAAGGTTTGTTTTTGATCCCAGGTGGCAGGAATCTACGATTCGTTTACCCATGGTTCATTGACTTCATTTCTATAGAGATGTTCGCCATAATGAATATACCTTCGACAGCAGCATCAGAGAACCGATGAGTCCTTGACATGGTAGCCATGGGAACTATAGGAGATCGTAATTCTGCTCCTGCTAAATATGGCTATGTATACTGGGAGAAATTTGAGCTATCAGCGCATAGCCATAGATGTTTAAAAATCTAGTTTACCATGAGGAGTTCGCGACCTTGTCGCGGTATCGCACCACCAGGGCCGGCAAGTTATAATAGCGTAGTTAGGTCCTACATGTTGAACAATACAATATTCCCTTCTTTGTGTTTTGAACTGCAAGATTATTCAAGACTTTATCCTGGAAAACGCCACATCAGTAAATTCGCACATTCCTTGGCGCCACTTTGCGGAGAAGGTTAAATCTTATTTACATCTTATTTACAATTATTTACTTGGCGCGTTGTGTTGACAAGTCGAAAAGAAGCATGACGCAAACAAAGCGCCGATAAGCACTGCAAGTGTACAGAAGTGACTTCGTATATTTCAAGCACAAAAAGTATAGTAAGTCTACATCTACTTATGTACCCATTACTGCTGATTGACGATCTGCGCAGTTGATGGCTTCAAAAAACATTGTTCAAGGCCGAGGCAGCAAATGCCAATGGGATAATGTTAAGGTAAGGGCTGATTTGATGATCTGTGCTGAGGCAGTTGCAGAGGGAGCGGAGGCGAATGGAGAAGGGATGGAAGCATTGTTGGGGCTCTGGGAGAGGTGTTAGAGTTAGCACATGATAATGGAGGTATGAGCACAGAAGAGAAAGCTTAGTAATACATACAAGAATGAGTAATGTAGGGAACACCGATAACCGGGAATAGCCGGAGCGGTGTTGATTAGTAAGCACAGCACGGACGAGAGACAAGTCCGATGTGCAGACTTTCGGATCGGACACATAGAACTAACCGTTCGATAGTATATATATTGTACAATTATTTACATTGGAAAAAAAGTCGAAAAAGAACTCCTACTCTAAGTCTCATAACAAGAAGAGGGTGAGGAGGTTCTGGACCAAGAAGGATTGTGTCCGAGTCCAAGTTGCTTGAGTATAAGGTGACTGTATACCAAAGTGAGTACCAAAATATCTTGTGGTATTGGAACACTTACTGATCATGGTATCAATAGTATTGTCTCACTTGTTCAGACATGTAAACATGAGCCATTAGCATTGTAGCACATGTACTATATAGAAGAATGCAAACCTTGTGGAATCTTGTTCATGTCCCTGCCTGTATTGTGTGCATCACCGAAAGTTTTGACTGATGCCCTGTGTTGGTGTGCGTCATTGAACATGGCAGATGCCAGAATGAGATGTTTGGAATATGAAGTACTATATATGTTTGATTTCCCATTGTCCCTCTCTTCCCTCAGTCCATTATATCAGACTGAGGGTGAGTTATCCTTTTCTTATCTCACTGTACTTAGATCACTCACACTTGTACTTAGGATACTGATATTAGTGTCTAGGTACTGCATAATATCAGTCCATTGTAACGATCATACCGGTGCTAGGTGCGTATGATCAATAGCATGGTTCTTCTCACCTTCAGGAAAGGAGATAAAGCGTGGATCATTAAATCCATATATATTGACCCATCTGCTCTTACTCCAGTCCAGTCCTAGGAATCCGCCCTCCCATGTCCTATCCATGTCCACCTATCTCCACCGGTGCATTATTTTTCCCAAATGTCATTGCTAAATAAGCTGCAGGTCTTATTACATGTCTACTCACGTTCTGCAGTGCATGATGTTTTATTACCTATAGACTCATCGCACACTCACTAACTATGCTACAATTCTTGCCTATGCATTCCAGACATTCACACGCTACAATATAAATGACTGCAGTACATACAATTGAGTAGTTCCTTTTCCCCTGGACTCAGCTCTATAGGAGAGTCATTCTCGCATTATTTTTGTAGACATTGTGCAATCCATCTATTTTGCTCTTTCTTGACAATCCTGTGCAATTTGACCGCTCCGAAGTTCTGTACCACTAGGATCTTACCCTTAAGCTCTTGCAAGAATACCCAACCCATGACCAGTAGTTTAGTGCAATTCTTCACTTGCACTATATCCCTTGTGACTGGTCGCTCCATAAAGTGTGGTTGATTTTGTGTGCATTACATCTGCCACACCGGCATCTGACATCCAATACGCTCGCATGTATCTTCCAATGGTTCATCCCACTCTTGTGATACCAACATTGGTTGATTTTGTCTGTGCTCATGGTTGATTCTTTGGCATAGAAATTCAAAGGTATACATACAGTCCGCATTCTAGTTTCTTAGGCCGATATAGGTTATAACTCCTTCACTCACTTACTTCCCTCACACATAATTGAAGGAAGTGCTTCAATAGCAGTCCTCTTGGGCTGATCAATTAACTTGTGCCTCTTAGGATAAGTAGTGCTAGTTGCTAACCACCTAGTACCAATTACTTCTTCACACCATTATATCAGACTGAGGGATACTGATATTAGTGTCTAGGTCTTTAAAAAAGGTTATGAGCCCTGGCTCGTTGTAATCAACAGCTGGAAACCCACAAGACCAATCAGCATTCAAACAACCTGATATGGACACCTGCACCCTGAGTGCACATCTTCAATTTTGAGTCAATCTCATCTAACATAGAACCATTCCTTCTTCGGGTGAGAAGCCTGCACTCTGCCACATCAAGTGGGTATATATATACTTGACAGGGCATAATCTTTCTCCTAACTACTCTTAAACCCAAACACCCACCATGGCACCTACCGCTCATCATACACACTCCAAGAGCTCACAACTTGCCTCTACAAGTAACCCAAGCACAGCCACTCAAATAGCTGTGCCTATTATTGGTAATATCATACCCATATTAGTGACGGCAACCACAACAACTCCAGTAGTGTGCGCTACCATCACAGTGATTACTCTTAGTCAAACTGACTTAAAAGAAATTGAGATCTTGGATCACAGCAAGAACAACTGGAGTGTCTGGTCTGACAAGATGAAAAACTATCTCTTAAAGCATGGTGGTGGGTACATTCTTGGCCTGATCCCATGCCCAGACCCAACTGTCGACCCTTCCAGTACTGGTCACTGGGACCTTAACAACCTCTGCATTATTGCGGCACTTCATACCCACTCTAGCCCCAAGGAACAAGTGTTCCTATGTCCCTATGATAATGCAAACCTTGCTTGGAATGCTCTTCAGTCCCAGCATGAGAAGATAGGCCCTATTGCCCAAATCCTACTGATCCAGCAAGCTCTATCCATTTGGTATTGTTGGTCTGAGTGTCTTTCCACCACCAGCACTGAGATTAGTGACATGGTGAGGCACATATACACTATCAGAATCCCAAAAGAGGAAGACTTTGCCACTATCATCATGCTTAACATGATAAATGATGAACTCACCCATGTTCACAACCACATTGCTGATGCCCTCTCCACTAGCACCTCTGCCTCCAGTTATGGACCCACCAACATTTGCTCCCACTTGGACATGGAGCAACAGCTCATTGATGCTAATAAGAAGGGTTCCAGTGACGTGGCTATGGTTGCTGGTAAGGGAAATTGTGCTCGAGAATTGCATCCAGGTAAAACCTGTTCTGAGTGTGGTGCCACTGGTCATTCAGCATGTTACTCTACCTGTAAAAACTGGGGGCACATTGCTAAGGACTGCTTTGGCAAAGGGGGGGCAATGGAAGGAAAGCGTGACAAGGTACTGTCTCGCAAACACACTACACATGACACCAAGAGCTCTCCTGCCACCAGGCCCTCTACCAAACCTACTATGACTGGTAAACCTGGTGGGCTTTGATATGATACTGCTGGATGTGCTTATCTGCTTGACAGTGAGACCCACAAGGCTATTTATGTTGCTGCCACACCTCCTACTTCCACACCTGAGCCTATCCAGGAGTTTGCAGGTCTTGCATATGACCCTCTCCCCTCTGCTCACATCCAGGACCTCCCTGGCTCTGACAATGAGGAGTATAATGCCTTATTCATGGCAATTGTCATATCCCACAATCTGGACTCACATTCCATAGTATTCCCACGCCTTCCAAGCCTATGTCCGGACCCCATATCCAACTCATTCCCAGATCCCCTTCTGCTGTGTACTCCACACCTCAGCAGGATCAACTACACTCTGGATTTACCCCTGAGCTCCGGACCTCCGGATCCTCACTGCTAGCCTGATCCGTACAACCCTATCCTGTCCACCCTATGTGCACTCCATCCAGCAAGACATCCGGACTTCACCTCGTCTTGGATTCCGGACTATATCCACCTTGTCTTCCGGATCCCCAGATCTCCAGACCTCCAGATATTAACTCCGGACCTATTCCCACCCTCTGTCTGACATCCTGTGCCTATCCCCATTTAGGCATCTCCGCCTTTCCGGCTTTCGGTTACTTCTTCTTCCATCTTGCTTATTGATCCTTGTACAAGTCTTCATCTCTGAGTTCATTTAGTTATGTTCCATCTTACTTACTAATGTGTTTCCACATGCTTGTACATAGCCTTGCTCCTTTGCTTACTGATCCCCTCAGATGTTGTCCAGTATATAACCCCTGTAGATACTCCTGTAGTTCCTCAGTTTGAATATCAACTTAGACTTGCCCAATCTTCTCTCAGACTTTGGTCCACCTAAGTCTGTCCTACCCATCAGGCCTAGGGATTGATTCCCTAGGCTGGAGCTCTGCCTTTCTGGCACTTACCCTCTTTCTGGACTTAGGTCCAATCCCTGTCTCTCCAACTCTACCTTAGGGCAGTCTACCTCTGTTTGTTTCTACATTGGACTCCATCCAATGTAGCCCCTATTCCTTCCTGACCTCTGGACCTCCTGTCCTTCGGATGTTCTGCCCTCCATACCTTCAGACGTTCCTGTCCTTCATACCTCCAGACATCCTGTCCTTCTGTCCTCTGTCATCCTGCCCTCCTGACCTCCTGTCCTTCTGTCCTCCATCATCCTGCCCTCCTGTCCTCCGGACCTTTGGACCTCCTATCCTTCCATCCTGTTTCCTATAGAAGTATTACCTTGCAGTGGGAACTCTCCTGAGCACTTCCTGTGTTCCTCCAAAACTCTCCCATGCTCCTCCAGAAGTCCTCTAGCACTCTCCAGCAGAGTAGCCAGCCTCTGGAAGTCCTCTGGACTTCATTGGACCATCATTGGACCTCATATGAAATGAAGGGCACATACTCAGGTAAGGGGCACAGCGTATGAGCTGAGGCCAAGCCCCTCTGAGTCAGTCTCTCTCCCCCTTGAGCAACATGGTTCTTAACAGCAATTGAGGACTTGAAGACAAGCATAGACTAGCAAACTCACATGAAAAATGTTGACTTTGTGGGACTCACTTACAAAGCACCAAATCAATGCAAATGCAC